CTAGTGAGTAAATGCCGACATACACTAAATGTCACGCGATGTCGTCATCACAACTTAGCCTGCGAATAGGCGCGTTGAGGATAAATCGAGTCTTGCTGATAATTGCGGTCACTAGTTTTACAGCCGTACAGGATTGATGTACGAGAATGCTCCTTCCTGTGTGATATCCCTGGTGCTTGTACTGTCTCAACAGAACTCACTAGACCATGCTAGCCTCTCTACAAACCGAAAACTTTCGCAATAACATTACCATGAAAAATTACTTGTTACTCAGTGCATACCATCTCCTCCAGGGGGTCAACCGCAAACCCAAACGCCTAACACTTAACCATGCTTGGCATTTTATACAAAAATAAGTTGGATGTATTATATTTGTTTTTGGAGATACTCCACATAGTTAAATGAGGTTCCTATCATAAACTGTTTGTGTTCTAAAGGACACTGCTGCTGTGTCAGTGATAGGATTTAATTCATGTTTTCCCCTTGTTTGAAACGTATGAATGATGACAAGTCACATCATAGTTAAAGTTGGTAGTTCGTGCAAATTGAAAGCGCTTCATTCCCACGTTGCTCTCTCTCTCGAGTCCAATACACGTGTGAGAGACAGTTTGACATGACGCGCTGTTTTTATACTGAGAATAAAAATAGACGGTGACAAATTGAGAGCATGCACTTAATCAAGATCTGTTGTGGTGGAAACATCCACGCTGCCAGGAAGTGTGGTCACCTCGCATTATGATAAGCCCTGTATAACTTTAGATTATTTCAATATAGGCCTACTATATATTGTCAGGGAACAACCAGAGTATAAGTCTATATATATATATATATATATATACAGTACGATTTGCCTCGATAACTGATCTGAAATATAATCAACGATAGAATATAGGATTATAGCATAAAAAAGCGGAAGAAACCTTAACTTGACCTATTGAATAGCTAGCTTCACACTGTATATTCAGTAACATTGATCTAGTGTTCCAAAGGATGAAACTTGTATAGTAACTGAACTATGACTTGTTATTTAGCTCTATCAGTTCTATTTCTAAATTCTTCTTAGAGTTTACAGAAGGGATAATCTCTTATTGATCCAGTGTTACTAGGCGTTACAAGGGGAAACCTAAACTAACTTTTCCTTATTGCACATCTTCAATGTATACATACATAACTATCCAAATTATCCGCAAAATTCCTCGCAGGGAACCACGAGACGTCATTTACTTCATGACACTAGTGTTTCACGTCAAAATGATATAAATATACGTTGCATGTAAGTACTACTTAGTATTTTGTCTTTTAATGTTCCCTCTATAAACAAAATCATTATAAATTTCTCCATTTTTGCTTATAAATACCCTAAATATAGTTGTGTGTTTAATATAGAGGTGCAAAAATCCTGCCTATTCCCACACTAAATAAGCGTTCCTGTTTATGTACTGTATCTAGGATCACAGGGCGAACCCTATTTCTGGAAACTTCGAGTGAAATTTCCTTGCATGGATATTTGATTATACGCAAACAATATATGCATAAGATTTGTACGAAATTCCGGTTACAAAGACATGTTTGGCTTTAATTAACAGGTGTACAAGCAATATCGCTCCTTCAAACACGAGAGTACTCTCTCTCTTTTGTATCACTTTTTGTTCGGAAAAGCTTAATTCCCCCGTAAGTAAATTAACTATTTATAATAGTAGATGTGCAGCATGCAATATCTTCGTCAAAACAGCGCTTTAATAAGGAAGTTTGATTTGCTTGAATTTGTTAAATATCTGAAATTTTCCGACTATAACCTTCTTTGTCTAACGTATTACCCTGACCCCAGATACTTCAGGCCTCACCCGTTTACTGACGTCATTACACGTCATGGCCAGGTGATTTTAAATCGTAGATGAACGGAGAAACTTCGTCAATCGTTTTGTAACACCGACTGATAACGCGTGCACAGCGACTGTCTACGAGATACAGCTAACGTCAATATCTATACAGCAAAGAAAGTCTTTGACAAAATCTCCTAGATTTGTATCAACTGGTATAAACTATTTAAAGGTAGGTTTATTATAATTGGTATATATTTTCCAGTTCCATATATTTATCGCTGTATAAAATTTGTTTCGTAAGGCTGAGTTATGGAGATATGCCAAATGGGTTGGCCTCCGTTTGCATGGTGTTAGAGATGCTTTAGGTCATCACGAGCTATGCATGCGGCACCCGATGATATCAAATGCATAAATATGGCTATCTCATTTATTGATCCAACACTCTCTACCTATCTGGCAAAATAGTATTCCTGTGAATACGACTTGCCACCACATCGAACGCTGTTTATTTTTCATAAAAGAAAGTGAATTACTAGTTCAATCATAATTATTCAAACGATACCTATGAGAAAAATCAAAGATAGCATAATTTTAGCATATAAAACTTGGTGTCGATCAAGTTTGTTTGAAAATGTCGCGTTTTGCGTGTATCAAATGAATTCAAAACAAACGATAATGATCTTAGATGGCTCATTATCTGTTGTCATTGATTCCATTAGCTAACATTCCGGCGGGGGGCTTAATTTTTTAACATAATCCTACGTACTTCACCATTAAGATAGAGCGAAAACAAACAATTTTGAGTTAATTGTGGAATGATGTGGTGTTTCGTATGAAACCTGTTGATATCTCCTTTGGTTAACAAATGAAGAACAAGGTAGTCTTCGTTGCTAATTTGCTATTGCTATACTTTTGTACAGAATAGGAGTGGCGATGTTTCCAACTGCTAGCAGACAGCCAGGTACAATCAACGAAGCTATGATGACTCAAGGGTTTTGGATGGTCCAGAACAGTGTCTCAAATCCTGCTTTTAATAACAGTTTGCAAAACAATGGACGATTTGCCTGGTTGAATCAGTGTTTCGCCGAGAGGACAGATGAGCTGGAAGAGGACTTAGATGAAAATGAACCGATACAATTTTGTAACATGAAAGAGAATATTTTAAGACTAGAGGAGCTCGCTAAAAAGAATGGGATCTCATTGGATGATGACAGAATGGAAATTGGTGGACAAAATCTCTTTGAAGAACTTTGCGAAGTGAATCCAAGAGCGAAAATTTTGGTCAGAAGAGATTCAATAGGTTCTCCATGCTGGTTTGACGCTTGTCGACGATTTTCCGGACTAAAACCCGAACATGTGCCCGAGGAAACAAAACTAGCACAACTTGTGTATCAATTTGGCCTTGAACACGTGCGAGAACTTCCAGTGTTGCCTATGGAAGCGATAAATAGCTGTTTATTAGCTGTCTAAATATTGACGCAAAATTTTGTAGTTGCGTAGGCACTCTTCCCATGGAAGAAATCTTAGCGGAGCGCAAATATTCTGCTGTGATTTCCCCGGTACAATATTTGTACTTTTTAACAATACACTGAATGTTAAGATAATATACATAGATAGATAGATAGATAAGATCACAAATATATGTAATATACAAATTATAAATACAAACTTGTTTTTATGATCTGTTTTTAAGGTACGAGGAGAGTTCATTAGCCGAATGCATATTAGAGACAGTCCAGATGGGATTCCTGCCCAACTTACCCGTCTGTTTAGACAGGACTAAAGTTAGACGGGAAAATTCGGACGAGAAACCCGTCTGTGACCGAATTCACATCAGACGAGCTTCCCGTCTATAATAGATGAATTCGGCTTTTGTAGCGTAGCAATCATGAATCTAACAGGAGCCAATGTTTCCTGTTTTCTTCCTGTGCACTTCGCGAAATAGCTAGTATTTGCTTGGTCGCCCATACACCCAAATCATTTCTGGGAAACAATATTTGCTAGTTTGTTTGCAGTTTCAGAAAAGGCGTGCAGCGTGGGCTGGTATTATCAGTTTGACTAATGATGAAGAGTATAGGTTGCCCACCTTCTGGAAACAGAGTAGGATGAGCATGATCGTATGATACTCTTCAGCTAATTGGCGCTTACGACGCATGCGTTGTCGATCGTGATTTGCATTATATCCTCCCACAAGATCCATCAGCTCTCATCTATGCAAGACCTGCAAACATTGTGAAATCATTCTTTGCAAAGTGACAATAAGAACTTCGTTATTTCCGATGTGATTCCAAAAATATACCAAAAATTCGGTTCAGCGCTATTGCAAGTTTGAAGTATGCAACTGAATGAACGCTAAAATGGTAACACATATTTAATTATTTCGTCGATGAAAACTGTTGAAAATATATATATAGCCCTTTTGCAATGTTTCGACTCTTATTAATCATAATCCAAAGTCCAAATATTAGCTTATATTTTTCCTCATGCAAAGTTGCCAACATGCGTTTTTCATTTGTCGCAATCGTGAAAGAAGTAAACTTGTTTATTTTCAATTTTGTTTATCATCATTTTGCTGCCAATTGAAATAACAATATGAAAGACCGGTGATCTTAAAAATCACTGATATCCGTATGACTTAAATTAGAACGCTTCAAGTAATATATTAGCCCAAAATAGAATATGGATGATTTGCTAGACAACGGTACGCTTTGATCTTTTAATAGGGACTACGAGTCAATTGCAAAAACTAAGGTCTTTTTATCCATGAAAAATACAGTCATTTTTTATAGTATAGACCGTCTGAATGGTCTGAATAAGGCATATGCGATAGGATTGAATTGAGTTATTTTTGCCTGAGATTTGAGTGCAAATTTTACTTGATTTATTAAGATTGTACTATTTTAGTAACCTCCTACGCTAGCCCTTATCTTGAGGATCTTTTATAACGTGATCTGTGATTGGAAGACAATGCAAGGGCTTTGCTAGTAGCCAATCGGAGAGCGCGTAAGGTTGCTATATTGGGGAAAGTAACAGGTCTAATGACGTCATAATGTGACGTTTAGGCGGTGTTTAACATATACATCTGCTCGAATGTAGGAGTTGAGATGTTTTAAAGATTGACGATTTTATATATTTTCATCGTTCTACCAAATATTAAACGGTTTAAAAGTATCTCAACGTGTCCTATGTGGTTATGAGTTGTAGTAGACGCCGTGTTCAAGTATTATGGCCACAGACTTAGCCGCAGTAAGCGAACTACATTCAATTGAAGTCGAGCCTACAGTGAATCATACGAATTCTGCTGTCTCGAATGAGGTAAATAAACGTAGTTATGCGATGATCTCCTGTCTCAAATTATTATTCTAGCATGGAGATATATTGTTTTGACTTTGTAGCGTTTTTTTTCACCAAATTCTGCCTTTTTAATTCCAAATTGATCTTTGATCAATGTTCTTTCAACCTATAGAAATGGCACATTTTCCGGAAGCCTAGAAAACGCTATAAAGGTCGACCTAGTTCAAACGACACAAGCTCAACAAAGGTAGGATAAAACAACCCATATCTTGAACCAATTTGACCCCGTTTATGTACACGTTTCCTGACTGTCTGTACGCGTTTTTAAGACAACAAACTTGCCTAATTTTTGTGGTGTATTCTCCCAAGGGGCCATCTTAAATAGTTCAGTATAATAAAACGATGTGGTAATAGCATGGCATAATAAATTTATCTTAGTCTACGACGCTCGTTTATTGTATCCTAAATCTTTAAATTTGCGATCTTTTAATGAAAAATTGAGCGATTCGCGGAATCCACGTATGAATGCAGTGACTCGTATAGAAACTTCGTTGTCAATGATGTCGTCTGCCTTAAAAGTGTCCAAAGCTTTTTTGTGGGCCAAAAATTGTTTCGATATGAATATAATTACTCCGGCGTCAGCGACGGAGTTGAAAATTCGCCCCGGTTTTGTTTTGTTTTTGTTTTTTTTTTTTTATTTTTTTTTTATTATTTTTCGTCGTCGCAAGTCTGTAATGGCGCGAAATATACTAGTATTTGAATAGTGTATGTGATCGTATTTATCTACGTCCCAGTCTTATCTCCCAAGAGTTGTGGTGCACAGCTTTGGCTAATTTTCCAATGCGCGATTCGATTTCGCTCGCATGATATGGCAATTCCTCCAAGAGGAACAAATAAACCGTTCTTTTTATGCTGTTCGATTAAGTTTAGATTGAATTGGGGTAAGAATATATTTAATACATGTAGACTCGGTCCTATTTTAATAATATCGCTGCTATTTCGCCGTTTAACAAGATGATGTGGTCGTGTATGGGCGCGTTGACACGTCGCGTAGTTTGCACAGGATCGAAGATTTAATACAACTATATATAAGCGCGAATTCCAAAGGCAAAGTGTAAGACGAAGCGAATGTATCATGCGGTTTATTTACATTTTTGAACAATTGAACTTCTATACTGCGATGTGCTTCTGAATTTTGCGATCGAACATTTAGGTTCGCAAGGCATCTAAATGCGAATATGTATGCGAAACAATACGCGAACTGTATTGTTTATGTTCAGAAGCTCTATATTGAAGACTGGCACGTGCGCCGGAGTTAACGCCAGAACGGCGTCTTGTTAGAGTAGTGTTACCGCAGCAATGCTTTGTAGCGAAGAAAGTATTGCTTTTCCCTGTTGTCGTCCTGGGTAATACAATGCATTGAACAGATATGATATTTAATCCGTCTACATCCTGTCTAGTGCACTCTTGTTACGTCCCACTGTCGTTCGCTGGGATGGTGTGTTTTAACGTAGACAGCATTCACGGCATCTGTCTGATTGCCTTTAATCGGTGGTTTTTTGTTTGTATTCGTGTTTTTAAGAGATTTTCTATGATCTACAATGCATACACGAAACATTAAATCGAGTTTGGTATTAGCTTGATAATCCAACGCAAACACACAACACTTATTTCAAACTAACAACATGCAATGCAATATTATTTTGGTTAGGCTACGATGTGAAATTTGCGCACACTAGCTCGATTAAATATTTATAAAAGGCTGGAGTCTTGTAGTTAGATTTAAAGAGAGTCGAATATTACCACTTCCGAAGTGAAAATATCGCATATTACCAGTTGACAAAGGCCTGTTTGATCATTTTGACCTTCCGACATTCAATGTAACAAAGTAATTCTAATTTGGAAAATTTTAGCTTAATGGTGTTCTAAGATTAATTTAAAACGAGATTATATATGATTATAATTTCCTTATTTTGTGGTCTTGTTGTTACTTTGGTGGGTATTTAACTTTGTTATGGCAAACTTGAAAAACAGACTTCTAGCATTGACAAGCTTGGTGATTTAATGTTAATTTATGCAAACTTTAGCTTATTTCAAAACAGTGGGGTTGTTAGGATAATTCTTGTTTATTTTTATTGATATTTGAAATCGTGTTTATACACGTCATATCACCAGTTAGAAATGATTTTACTCTGACATGCAATAAAAGCACTTTTTTTCAATGAGATCATGATGTCACAGCACTTGTTGGAAAAGGAAATGTTGTGAATTATTCATGTTGCATAATGCTTACTAGGGGGTGGAAATATGGTGCCTAATGTGGATGTTTTGTGTTGGAATTTTCCAATGCAGCTGCTTATCACTTCTCCTTTTTATGCTTCTACTGGAGATTTGATTATTTTTGTGTTGACAAATATTTGTCTGTAGTTGTTTGCCCGAAAAGATATAAAAGGCAGCGTTTGACATATTTGACCTTAACAGTCGTGAATATAGGCCAGATGGACTTTGATAGATTTTTGAGTTATAAGTGGATTTATTGTTTTGATTTATTAGTAGAATTGTTCGTTAGTAAGATTGTTAAGGCCGGTTTACACTAGCAAAGTTTCTGTGCACACAGTATGCTTTGAACAAAGTGTGTGCAAATATGTAAACACCTTTCAAAAACTTTGAGCGAAGACTTTCAAGGGCTTTAAACGACATGGAGCGTGTTCAACTTTGAACACAGAACTTGAAAGAAGCCGGCACTTCTTGTACTAATTAAAATGTCTACCGAAGTTTCATTCATTTCTGCTGAGAAAAACAAAAATAACAATAAATAATAATAAGAAGCGCTTTCCGTTTACGGTCGTCCATGTTTGACCTGTTGTTTGTGCAACAGGAAATACTCAGCTTCAACCTTGGACAGTGTAAATGTCAGAAGTCCTGTTCAAACACTGTGCTCAGACAGGATGCCTCACTGTGCACACAGAAAGTGTAGACTTTGCTAGTGTAAACCGGCCTTGATTGGAAGATGCTTATCAAACATTTTTTGAATTGTTTTCTTGTTGATGTCCGTTAAAGTATTTACAGTTACAATATTTAGATACTCTTGTTTTCAAACTCTATGCGATTAGCTTTGTCCTGGTAGAAATACATTGTCCTGGTTCTAAGCTAAACTTGCTTTCAGACAAAAATTATTGCCAGTCTCTGTATTCTTCAATATATCATTAAAATATATCACATTTACCTTATTAAGACTTCCAATTTATAGTTATTTTTTAAACCCATCAGTTGCAACTTTTTATTAAAAAGACCACCATTGCCATGTACAGTATACAAAATTTGAATTCAAATTCTCACAGTATTTTAGGATAGATAAAATTTCTAATAATTAACCTGTAGGAATTGTTAGAACAATGGTAAATCATTAAGAAATGATTTATATTCATGCCCTAGTATGGGTACAACTAAGGACATAATTGCACAATAATAATTAAGTTAAACTGCAGGGTTCAAAACAATGTTTGGAAAATTTACCTTGTTTCATAGCCTACCCTGTTTCTATGCTAAAGATATTGCTGGCTATTTCAATCTAACTTAAAAGTTTCTTTTAAAAAGTTCGAAATGTAGAGGGATTGTAGATATTGATTGAGTCATGTAACCTTGATATTTCCTTGCAAAACCCCCTTGTAAAATACCAGCTAAGTGTTATCAGAGAAGGCTTGTTAGTCTAAACTGTGACTTGATATAAAAGCATTTTCAGATATTGCACAATCCACACATTCAACAAAACGAGACAGTGTAATCATTTTTCTGTCACAATAAGTTAGTTTTCACGATGCGATTTTCAGTCTCCTGTGTTTTTGGAAAACTCCTAGCCCTTGTTCTTTGTGCATTGTAATGAATGTTTTGAGTTTAGGTTTAAAGAGCAACATGAATGCTTTGTTTTTATAAAAGAACACACGATGACTCGCAGTGGGTTGCATGAAATAAACGTGACGCCTTGAAATTGCATTTCGTAATCATCCAGTACCAAGCTGTGAAAGCGTCCTATATCCTCTTTAATTTTTCATACATTTTTTTTCTTTAAAAGTTATTTTCCATCTTGCGTGTTTGTTAAAGTGTCTATCATGTTATCGTTGTTTCTCTTTTTTGGGAAGTCAAAATGAAACAATAGCTTGCACGGTTTGAAAATAAATGATGGCGCTTCTTCCAGCTTGAATTACCTGCCAAAGTTTAATAGTAGGGTAATTCGTTTTACGTCAATATTTTCCAGTAATTTGGGTTGTTTCAGTAAAAATGTCATGACTCATGATTATGACCCATGCAGTTGAGACCTGTGAGAGAATATATTAGCTTTTTCGCGAGATTTCGTTTTGACTTCAACTATACCAGCGCTTTTAAGGAAAACTAATTAATCATATACAATGGGTCCATCACATCACCCAGTCACCCAGTTATTGAAAGGTTTCGGCAATCGAATCTTAACTTCGTCGTTCACTAAGTGAGGCTGAGATTCCTGCGAAGATTGGTAAGAAGTAAAAGCAAAGAACTATGAATTGTGTTGTAGTCGCTTGTAGCAGCCATGCAAGCATGCAAGAAAGATACAAAGCATTGTTTCGGCAATACCTTCAGATGTTGTATCACTTTACGAAACTATAATTGTGACAATTGTTTAGTATCAGTTACACGCATTTCAAATAAAGCTCAAAAATGCCTCATATCATTGTCCCATTTAATGTTAGCAATTTCTCCCCCGTACCCAGAGTAAACAATGAACTTTATTCGGAATCCATTTCGAAATGTAATAATCAATTAACCTAAACAAACTACACCCTTGACTGTTTGTGATTGCCCAAATTGGTTTTTACCATACATGGTGAGATCAAACTGAGTAAAAAATTACATTCGCTTTTGTCTTGAGTCTGCGCTGTCTTTTGAGATCTGGAACATACGAAGAACAACGGAAAAAGATCTAGATTCTACCAAAAAGTTACAGATTGCTTCCAGAATTTACCATTCGTGTGTCGGCAGAAATGCTCTAGAATTTACCACAGGGGCTGGTAGTCGAGTATATAAAATATCAATTCAGTCTACTGATACCTTGTTAATATTCCAACGACTGTAGCGTATCTTGTATATAGTATATAGTCTGTGCACAAGGTAACGTGATTCTACCACAAGTTCGGGTTGCAAAAAGGAAACGTGGTCTTGCTAATGGTAGTGTGTAGATATTTCATTATCTGGATTCAAGCTTCTTTGCCATTATAACCATCAACGAACTGTCATTATATTTGACTTTGCGCTAGCGAGGTTTATCATGGCTTTTGGTTCATTAATGCGACGACGAAAAAATTCTAAGTTCACAACAACGGTAAAGCTATTTTTGTTTTTAAAATGTGCATGAAAAAGGATAGCATTATGCAGGCTTTTAAACTATATCAGATCTTCTTAATTATTACTAATGTCCTGAACCATTTACATTCCAAACTCTCTAATTTTCGAAATTGATACGTCGTAATTACGTCAATTGTTCGACTATTGGCGAAGTTAGTTCCCATAATTGTTATGTAATTCCTATAGTCAAACCAATATTGTTAATAATAAATACTTATTTCTGTTTATTTAGATTGTCCACTAGATATATTTATATTGTTGGTTTTGTTTAAAAATGCGGTTAGGTTTTGTATAAAGTTCAATTAAAACTTAAGGATATTCGCTGAAGAAAGTTAGTTTAAAAGGAAATCCAGGGGGGAAGTCCCATCCCACTGCCGGGCTATAGATATACATGCATTGTAAATGTGAATGCGTACATTAAAAAGTAGAATGATAATATGTCCTCTTTATTTGCATAGTTTCCTCTTCGAAATAGATCTCTCTAAATACTAGTTACATGGACTTGTATTAAACAGTTTTAAAGTCACGATAATGTCAGCGAGTTGTATAAGGCGTGGTCATTTTATCACCAATTTTCTATATACGGTAGATATTCTTCAGACACTCTGACAGGTCGCTAGCCTGCTGGACATTTCAATGTCTTATTGAAAGTATTTCAGCATGAGGTAACTGGAAAACTGCATGCATGGCATTTTGCATGGATTTTCTCGCAAAGCGTGCCATGAAAGAGAGCCTGCTTTTAGCAACATGAATATGCCGATTGTGGGAATGGATGCCATTTTAATGCGCGTCGCTTTTTTCTCCGAGTTTTCCGACGAAGCCGTAGATGACAACATGCTAGAAGACTCGGCTATTTGTACAACAGACCCAACACTATAACGTTTATCAATCCTGAATTGCCCGCAGTCTACTTGTGGCCACAGTTGTTAATTATTCACGCGGGTTCTATTGTGTATATGCCTGTATGTGTATATCTAATGAAACAACCCCTAAGGTAATATATCGCCCGTTAATATGCCCGTAATATCACCCAAGGGGAAGGTTTTTTGAAACTCACCCAAACGTTATTTAGGTGAGTGTTTTTGTACTATTATCAGTATATGGTGATTGTTATAAAGGTTTGCATGTCTGTAGCAAGACAGTGTATGGTTGGGCGTTTTTTACTTTCTTTTAAAAGCTATATTTTTTCTTATATGTCATTCATTTCTGGTGGCTCCCGGGTGACCGAGGGAGAATAAATTTTTAATGCGTTTTATTCAAATTATTGAATGTTAAACAAAATCTTTATTATCCTCAATCGTTTTAATGCACTGCACCAAAAACTAAACCTTCGTAGTCTCTTCACCGAATGTTGCCTGTTTAAACTTTCTTTTAAGCTGTATTTCACTTCGGTTTAGTATTTCTGTTTCCTCGGCTGTTATTCATCAGTTCCCCGAGTGTTATCATTAAAATTAACAAGTTACTGTTTATGCTTTTTCCACCAATTGGAGCGTCTTTGTGGTAATTAGGAAGCGCATTAATGCTGCGTTGATTCACACACATAAGCTTGCAACTTGGTTTATATTGCTCGCATGATTTTTTTTTAACTTTTAAAGACCTTACGGCCGTGCTCAAATGATGTGGATAGTATCCTTATGCGATTGAGCTTCGCTTGGCACGATAACTCTTAGCAAACTTGTCGAAAATGTTATAGCGTTTGTCTCAATGTGCTCTTGGGCAGAGTCGAGATAATTAAAGTTTCGTCTATCGCATGTGTTACAATTTCCAGTCCCTGTGGTGGCCCCTTGTCGCTAAATGAAATAAAGTTTAATAATGGTAAGGTTGTCGCCTTTATATATTCATATCTGTTATGTTGGCTCACCGCGTTGACGCGCTTAATATGTCGTGTATATGTGTATAAAATCAAAGTAGTACTCTGGTTTAACAAGAACCGGTTTAGCAATAATCATGGCGTGTGTTGTTCTAACGATAGCCTTAACTAAGTGTCCTATCTAATAGAAACGATTATTACTTTGAGAAATACAAAAGAAACAGCCCAAGAAACTAATGTATATACGTTTGATGTCCACAAACTTGCGATTAGACAGCAAGAGAAAAGTTAAGATAGTCTGTGTCATGTCGGTGAAGGTTATCTCGTAAATTTTCGTATAGCGTGATTTATTTCGTGTAAATTAATCGGCGAATGTTTTCTACAAATTATAGTTACTTCTGAGAATTTTGCTATAATTAATTTGAGGTTGATATAAAGGAATAAACGTATATTAACGTATACGTATTATTACTTGACAAACTAACGTTTTGGCAAACCTGAAAACATCGCGTCCATTCTCCCACGGCTTCTCCCTCTCATATTCTTTTTATAGGGTATTCTGTACTCCATCCAGTTGTTCGATAAAGAGTAATTTATCCTCCTCAACTAGACCTTGCGTATATATAGCTCAGATGCATGTGCATCGTTTTAAGAAGAAATACTGAACGAAATGGTTAGAGTAACCTGAATAAGAGTAACCTGATTTGTTATTTATTGTCGAGTGCCCTGTTTACTTTATTTTAAATCCCTTGTAGTAGTGTTATGGTGGTCAATACTTTGCAAGCAATACCTTTAGAACCTAAGTTAAACGTGCTGCAAAAATTATTCGTATTATCGTTATATAGTTGAAGTCGTAGTATCGTAAACATAATTGATTTTGTTTATGGGTGACCTGTAGTTACACACTCCCTTTTGCATTACAAATATTTCTAGAGTACAAATTAGATATAATTGTTTGTTCGAAAAGCAGTATAGTGTATTTTGCGGATAAAATCTATGACGATTTTCCTATCTTTGTCTTCGAAGATAGATTTAAAATAGTGACTGCCCCTTAAATGTTTCATGAAAATATTTTAAGCTCTTCAAATGAATTCAGACTTTCTTTCGATATAGGTTCGCCGCGAGTCCCTAAATGCACCTATAGGTTTTAGAATTTTGGTCTGTGTTATGTAACTGTGTTCATATTGACATTCTGTTTGAGAGGCTGGCTAATTTACCTTGTGGTCGGCCATTACTGCTTGCCGATATATTATTATGTCCAACTTTGGTAAATTTAAAGATTGTGGTTTGGTTATCTTAGCCTCCCCCGCGGTATCGTTGTCATGGTAACAGCTTGCGCACTCTGTGTGCAAGCTATTAGGCAAATCCGCAAGACTTGTGGATCCACTGTTCCGAGATATAAATTAAATTATCTCTTCTAGACACTTTTCCTCGTGTTGAAAAGCTCTGTCCCCTCGAAAACTGTTGTCCATTGAGTCTAGAATAAGGATGATCTCTTAAGAGTTAAGAATGATTAAGATATGATCGCTCTCTAAGAATGATATATCTAGCTACTATATTTACAGAGGAACTAAATTTATATATACTTAATAGCTCCATCAATTTCTAAACTGTTCTTCCTAGATATCTAGTGTAAGGATTATCTCTCATAAATCCATCCAGTGTTATACATTATATCGAATGAAACCTAAACAAATTATTCTCGTAGTTCAAGTCTACTTGTTATCCTGTTAGGCTGCGCATGGATGCATCGTATCAAAAACAATTCTTTAGGAAGATTCGTTGATATTTTCAGCGATGACTGTAGTGATGATGATAATCTTCGTTATATTCCTAGGATTCTGAGTCCCATACAAACCACATATCCGACTCGAGCAGTTTAGACGAGGACAGGGAAATGGTTCGCAGAGATTTGGGAAACCGTGGTGCGGCTTCACTTGATGCTGCTAAGGTTTGTTTTAAACTCATCGCCATCTCAGAGTTGTTTGTCTGTCCATTCATTTTCGTGGTATTTTCTCGCATCTTCCAGCACAAGCCAGTGGCATTTGCCGTAAGAACGAACGTCAGATATGATGCTTCTGAAGAAACAGAGTGCCCTGTGCCCAATACTGCCATTTCATTCGACGTCAGAGAGTTTCTCCATGTCAAAGAAGTATGTATTATCACAACTAACCAGAGCCACGTTCATGACTGCGATTATTCAAAAGGAATTAAGTTTCGCTTGTTGTTATTTTATTCGATATATGTTATTTTATTAGAAATTTAACGAAGATTGGTGGATAGGCAGGGTTGTAAAGGAAGGTGGTGCAGTTGGTTTTATTCCAAGGTATGTTCACGTCCTAATCATGGGGAGTTCTAAGTTCATCTTATGGATCCGCTTCTGCAAATGTTATATCGTCTTCTTGTTTATCTCTGTTTTAGTCCAAGTAAATTGGAATCAATCAGACTTCTTACTTCTGTCAGTGGAAAGGGAACCAAGGGAAGCAGGTATCTCAGTCTTTGGATTTACAGGATTAACCCTTCGTTTCTTCAATTTTTCCTGCTGCTTCTGATAGTTTTTGAAAACTTTCAATTTTACATTTTTCCTTAGGGGTAGTGGCGGCGGGGTACAGCTTGGTGATGGATCCCCTGGGTCACCCGGAGGAATGTCATGTAAGGCTTGTAGGCTTCTATAGCGGTACCATAGTTATACAAGGTTACGATATATTGATCCAGTCTCACTACAGGAGGAAATGTGGCCTTAACTAACCCGTCTTGTTGTAGTTTTCTTTGACAAAACATTATTTTTTCTCAAGATGAGGGAGAGAATGGGATCGATTACGACGAGGAGCCACCCCCTACCCCCACTAGTCCCACCAGTCAGGGAAGTGGTCGTTCGTCTGTACCCAGAACAGGCTCTGGTACTTTACCTAATCAAAACACAGGAAAGAAGAAAGTGTTCTTCAAAAAGGTTGGTGTGAGTTCGGTTTTGACTTCAATGCTTTGCTTTGTCCCAGCCTGTCCCAAATCTATTCTTTATTATCAAGTTAGAAAATACTCAAATTTAAGTAAAAAATTCTGTGGTATTTTTTTAGCAAGAGCAGCTTGCGCCTTACGATGTTGTCCCTGTGATGAGGCCAATAGTTTTCATTGGACCTTCAATGAAAACCTATGAAGTAACGGATATGATGCAAAAGGCCTTAGTTGACTACATCAAACACAGGTTTGAGAGCAGAATCATCATCCATCGTTGTAACACCGAAATTGGAAATAAACGTGCTTCGTTACAAGGAAATGGCAAAAAACCTTTAATGGAGAAGACGAACAGCAAACAAATGCTGAGTAAGTTGCTACCTTTGTGATATGGGAACTTCTCGGAAGTTGTTAATAGTGTCGAATATCGAACTTATATTCGCCTGGGAAATTACTTAGCAAATTAATACTGATCACGTGACAGGAACAACGCTTATGCCAAATTAGAAAATGTTGTTTCCTTGACATTTCCAAATCGAAGGGAAAAGTCTCACCTATTTTATCCCATATTTTCTCAACATTTTCGTTCTTTGCTTTGCTGCAGGTGAAGTTCAACAAGAAATTGATCATATTTTTGAGCTTGCCAAAAGTCTAAATCTTCTTGTCCTGGAGTGTGATACGGTCAACCATCCTTCACAGCTTGCCAAGTCAACTTTGGCTCCGATTATCATTTATTTGAAGATTGCATCGGCAAAGGTATACAGATGAAAGAAATATTTGGATTCTCTCAAATACTCTGTATTCAACCATGATTTACCATTCCCCATCACTTTTTTTAACAGTATCTCAATGAACATGACAATTTCTTGAGTAAATTATCCTCTATTTATAACCAAGGTGCTTCAACGTCTCATCAAGACTCGAGGGAAATCTCAGAGTCGTCACCTTAATATTCAGCTGGTGACCGCTGAGAAACTGGCTCAATGCAACGAGGTAGATGAATTTGAAATGTTTTACTGCACTCGTGTCTGTTGCATGCTCTTTAACGAACCTATCTTGTAGACAAACCTTGTTTAGATTAGAATAAAGGCAGGCTCTTTATCCTGTAATAAGAATCATTTTTAATTTGAAATCTCCTCCCAAACACTCATCATTTCCACTTACTTTGAGTGTAACGTCAATGAGTTAACATGCCTCATGCAGTTTGTTATCATTACAACATTTTTTGGTAAAATGGCAACTAAAGGTTGAGAGATCTGTTGAAACTACTCTGATTCAAAATTGATTCCAGAACACGTAATCTTATAGTGCAGTGAAAACCGTTAACCATATCATTAAGAGATGCACTTCACTGCAGTGATGTTTTACATCAGAACGCGGGGCCTAAACACGACGTTTTTGTGTATTTTGTTAACAGGAGTCCTTCGACTTGATTCTTGACGAAAATCAGCTTGAGGACGCCTGCGAACATTTGGGTGATTTCCTGCAGCAATATTGGCGGGAAACACACCCTGACGTGAGCACGGTGATCGAGGAAAACCATTCGGAACCAGGCCCCTCGATGTTCAACCAGGAGCAGCAACGACCTAGTGTCTACCTATAACCGCGCGTCTGAAGCACAATTTTGAAGCTCTAACGTAGACGCTACCTTGGTTAGCGTAGCTTTTTTACGAACGAATGAAGTTTACCTGATTGTTGTAGCCGAATATGGCTTTTTACACACCTTTCTACCCATGCTTAAAAGAAGGTGAACACTGAGGTATATTCCTCGCGTGGACTTTTCCTCGCGTGGATTCGATCCTCGTTTTGAGAGAATTGGTGTTTCCATTTCACTTTTTGCAAGGAATTGGCTTGAATATTCGCAAAAGTTAGACTGGATTAATCCTAGTCAAGAGAATGGGGAAAAAAGATAGTTTGATGCTGGCAGGTGTTGATGATATTCGGTGGAAACACAACTCGTATATAGTGCTGTGTAACCCATTGCAGGAAATATTTGCAACCAGTTCAGGGCAGCACAAGTTGTTATGTAGTGGTGATTATGTAGAAAAATGTTTTATATTGAGCACATGGAAGGGACTTATTTATATACTAATAATATTGTAAGGCAAATGTAGCTGTGTAGTATATATGCATGTGACGGGGTTTCAGAGATTGTCTTTCCAAAGTTGTTTACAAATGACAACCCTGAAAGAATTTTGAGCGATTCATGAGCGGTTAACATAAGCTTAAGGTTTTGTTTCGATTCGTTTTATACTGAGTAATTTTGCAGCTTTTTTGTTCGGTAGACTATAGGCAAGTTTTGACATTATTTTTATTGTTCTGAATAGCGTAAATCTTTGCTTTGGATGGACGCGCTTTGCGAGAAACAAAAAAGTTTTTTGCGTCACAAGCAATGCTGCATGTCTGGCAGCAAAGTGTAGTTATTTACGCAGCTTATTTTAATGCATCTAGGAAAAAATTGGTTTCTTTGCAACTTTGCAAAATTTGTTGAATTTATTGTGTCATGATTTGGTAACTTACAAGGATTGTTTTGCTGTGGTAATGCCAATGAATTAATTCAGTGTCATTTGTGAATAACATGGACTTTGCTTTGGACAATTTTGATAACCATCTTGCATTATATATACTGGTAGTATATCTGTTAACAAATCTAAATATGATATTATGATATGCATGGCAAATATCACCTTAATTATAACGTGAATTTCAAATTTTTACACTTGTAAAGTAAATATATTATATGTAGAAATTAGTTGGTTAGGCATTGGTTCGGATATGCCCCTGTAACTCAGTTTAATTGATTGCAAAAATGCTGGCGGAAGGCGAATGGTCTCAAGTGCATGTTCCGTCATTGCTTTGAATCAAGGATGCTTTAAACAGGACTTGCTAAGCCTGCTTGTTGGATGTGTGGGCAGGCCAAATGTCAACTTCCGTATTTAAATGCACTTTTAAAAAATATGTGCTCATGTATGTTTTACTTAACTTTATGTCTCCCCCAGTACCAAGTCTTGTATTGTAGTATTCCCGCATGCATGCATGCACGCGCGTTTCTGACACATTTGACATCTTATAGTGATGCGATTGCCCCCTTTTTGCTCAGAAAACCTCCCATGAATTCAGAATACCTCTTGTGTATTCGTTTTCATTATATGTCATATGAGGATTTGCTACTAAGGAACTGTTTGTTGGCTTCGAGAACCAGGATCTCGATAGGAGAGTTGGCGGTTTCAAAGACAAGCTACTTCAAAAATTGCTAAAAGCTTACCCACCCCCATAACAAATAAATAAATTATTACAATAGAATTTCAGGAAAAACCAAAAACGCGATTAAATATCAAAAACGGTCCAACATCTTTGCAAAACGTTTTTCACCGTTCAGTGTAGGACAATATAGCTAATGCTTTCAGTTTGAGTTACAATAATTACATGTAAGATATGATCTAACGTTAACCATTTTTATTCCGTGGACAAATCTCATTGTGTGGGCTGTAACACCTGCATTTACAGCTGCTATACTAAATTTAACTTGCCAGACGGTTGTTAACAAGTCAAGTAGCATTAGGACATCGGGTCGTAGGATCGTGATGTGAGCATGTAGTGGGAGTGACTACTAGTCACGTCTCAAGATGAAAAGCGTTTGAGCTGAACTCTCTGGAGTATCTGGAGTATCTGATGAACGACAAAGGTGGTAACTAAGACTTGCAGTTCTTTTGCGTCTAGGATGTTAAAAATCTTTTTGGAATAAGGTCTATTTCAAAGACAAAGTCGTGTGCGTCATTGCCTCTGCCGGAAGATTAAATTTGTCCTGTCACAAATGGGAATTTTTATCCATTTTTCTGATGTTTTTCTTAAATTCGCAGGTCACTAGCTCGCCCCTAGAACACCTGCCGGAGGTCGAGAGTAAGCGAAGGTATAAATCTGCACTCACGTTATAGCTAAATCAACTTGTTTTCTCCCGGCTTGGAAATGGTTTTATTTTCATTTCGTATTTAGTGAAGCAAGAGTAATTTTGATAAGTGATTACTCTTTATTAACACAAAGAAAATCAAGAATAGGTTTATTTAATTGCGCAACGATTAAGCGTAATGAGCAGTGCGCAAAAGTGCGTAAAAACACGAAAGAATGGCGTCGATCATGCGACAAATCATGCAATATCTTGCTTCACTCAGTGACTGCGATATTCGGGCTTCGGCAAACTATTTCATTCGCTTCATTTGAATGCGTCAATTAATCACTCAAATTATGTGTGTTTTCTGTACATCACGTTCTGCATTTTCATGAAAATAAAAAACACGTTCCGGCTGTCGTATATGACAGGTGCACGATACGTGTAAATAATAAATTGTACTTTCCCAAAGATTTAAAAATGGTTTGTGTTAGAAAATAGCGAAAATACATGGGATTAATCTATATAGTTTAGAAATGTCTGTCAATATATAATTGAACTCTAAAACCATGCGATACCCAGCAATTAACAAACTTAGGTTTTAATACGTCACAAACCTGACGTCATTGAAACGAGATATGTCCGTATCAATGCTGCACCTTGCAAGTTTACGACATTTACAGATACTTTAAAGTTTCTTCAACCACGCTAATAATGGAAGGGCACGCGTGTTTAGTGTGTTTGCAGAACTAAAATGCACGTTTAACTACTCGAGTGAAAATATATGCTGTAATAAAAGGCTGCAGTTGCCTAGTTTTATTCAAATATTCAGAACAAAACTCATGAAAGGGAAGTCAACAAGTTATAACCGAAGCAATAATATCCGGTGTCTAAGTGCGCATGCGTTGTTGAGTATTGAACATAATTCGTTGGCATTGTGAGAAAGAAATTAGTTCCTTTGTCTGTCGTACTTCTGAGACAAATATCTTTTCGATTAGGCGTTTTTACGGCTACATAAAACACTTGGATGTCAAATTTGTGATAAGGAATTGTGATAAAATGTTTTGAGACGATTTGTTGCTGTTTTCGTGCGGTAAAGTAACTTCAAAATATGGCCGAAGGTTCTTCGGGTCTGTTGCCACAATCTGTTGATATTTTGGGTTCAGGCCATCAAGACGAAGCTAGAAACTATCCTGGCAATAATTTAGCTTTGCTTGGACGAAGGCCATTGAGTGATAGCTCAATTAAATACGAAGAAAATGCTTTTCAAATCGATTCTTCCGAAGTCAAACTGGTTCATTTCAGAGAAAGACGAAACTCGTTTGGCGATGCCGATAACTCGAGCGATGATGGATCAAAAACTTCATCTTCTAGGGGATCAATCGCTTCAACACAAACGACAGAGCAATCTAGTCGTATCAGATTAAGAAAGGGAGCAAAAACATCTTACGATTGCCACTGTCCTCAGTCACAAAAAGCCAAAAGAAAAGCAGCCAAGAAACTCTCAACTCTTCCGAAATTTAATGGAGGGCCATTTCCCGTTGTGCCAGAGAACAGCGAGTTAAAATCTCGTCCTCGAAAAAAAGATGGCTCGTTTATGAAAAGAGTAAAGAAAATATTTTGCGATTCGGCAAGCCCCACGAACTGTGATAACGAGGAACCGCGGTTTTCTGACAGCGATGCTAGCAATTTATCTAAGCCAGCAAACGACACGGAGCAGAGTCGTTCGTCCAAGAAAGAGCTTCAGAAAAAGGACCGTCATTATATTATAAGTGATATTATGGCAGTCACAAACTGTTCCTATTATTGGGGCAGTATAAATCGTCATGAAGCTGAGGAAGTGAGTAGCCTAGATAGGTTTTACTGTAAGAAGATATATTCATGTTTTTTCTCCTTGTGTTTACATACTATACGCTTTATTGATTTTCGTGGCTTGCGGTTTCAAATTACCTTTCATGTTTTCCTGTGATTCTGTTCTACTTTGATTCTAGTTTTTTCCCTTTGTGTTGGGGTAAATAATATCGATGGCAGTTAAATTTCCATGTATTTTTATGGAGGTATTTAAAATCCCACACATTTTTTTAACACGGATCATAAACGCTATTGGCTTCGGAAAAGATTGGTTAGATATTAAATTCGTCGCGAAGCGAATTGAATATATAATATAAACTAAGACTCCTAGATAATCAAATAGCTTGAAAAATAAACCATTCGCACGACTTCAAAGATTTAAATAGATTTAATTACGGAAATTGTCAGTTCTACAAAGTTTTCATGGCAGGAATACATCTTCACATTAACTTTAATTTGCCAGCTAGACACAGCTGCTTCTCGAAAGATTTCTTATGAATTTACCGATCTGAAAAAAAAATGGTCCAACCGAAAAGACAATTCCAATTTATTACAGGAAAATTTTGGAAATTGCTACAAACATCAATAAAGTGTAACAATTATTAGCAAGAATTCTCAAATTTTTTTTCAGGTGATTATTGTGTATGTAACCTTTTCATTTTTTGGCCTCAATCCAAGACAGCCTATGACAAAATCCAAACCCTAATATGGCAGTGAATTCGTTAGGGTCTCTTAAGTGTATATTGTCACGACTTTAAATATATATTGAAATGAGAAAGTTTAGGTTATATAAGAAACTATCCTTTTTTGCTCTGCCTTAAATGATGACATAGTTCTTCCTGTCTGATTTATATCATGTGCACCTCAAGATCTGTCACTGAATCATGAACTTTTTCATGATTCAAAATTAAACTTTGGGATAATACATTCTATATTAGCATAATTTTATCAGCTCTTATTTTCTGTAACCTAAAAATTTATTTTATCCAAAATTTAGCTCCTAGTTGGTAAACCAGATGGAACGTTTCTGTTGCGGGATAGTGCACACAAGGACCATTTGTTTTCCGTAAGTTTTCGACGATACAACAAGACGCTTCATGCTCGCATTGAACAGTGGGATCATAAGTACAGTTTTGACCATGAGAGTCCGGTGGCTTATTTCTCCATTACAATTGAGGGTTTACTGTCCCATTACTCAATCGGTGAATACTGCATGTTTTTTGAGCCAATGTTGGTCAAGCCCTTAATCCGGACTCAACCGCAGCCCCTTATGAGTTTGTGTCGAGGGGCAATTGGAAATTGTACAAAATACGAAGACATAGAGAAGCTGCCAATTCCTTCCTCCCTCAAAACCTACTTGCGAGAGTATAATTACTGTATCAAACCTAAATCAAAGAAAGACGATGATGGAAAACGGAAAAGGAATTCTACACTCTGTCTTTTTTGAGGACTTGGCACACCAAGAGTTAACAAAAATATCCAGGATAACCATGTATTCATATTTATTGTATTAACACTCAGTGTATGTATAAACAGAGAACATTACCTAATTAATCAGACCAAATTACCTAAATGAAATATTCTCTTAATATTTTTGAATGGTAGCAACTTACTATTCACAGAGAGCAGTGAAATACTAATTATTAGAGTATTATTCTGTTATCAAGTTTGATAACCGATCAATTACATTTTCGGAACATGTTTTTTCGAGCATTGTCAAATAGCAGTTTTTTGTTGTATTCTCTAGCCTGTAAAACAAGTATTTTTTTGTAACTATAAAGCACCAAATGCGTAGAGCTGGAGTCTGTATATCAAGAGTATTCATCAACACTATTGTTGATTGTAGAACTATGTTTCCCAAGGTCAAAGTTATCCTTGAGTACTTGTTTGTTTGAATCAAATTTCATGTTGACATTGTAAAATTCAAACATATTTTTACATACTTGACTTTGTGGAACAAAATAAGTATTTATATTACATAGGTGAACAATCAATTTGTTTGCCATAAATGATATTTTTATGTGTTTTATTGATCTTTGCTATTGTTCACACCTCAAGAGACATAATTGCAACTGATGGTAATCCATTCTCAAAAATATACGAAACCAGCTCAAAGGAGCTCAAAGCCTTGATATATTGATCACAACTTTCACTTCTTTATATCCTATTCATCAACATGTTGTTCTGCAAAAGTCATTGCCTCATGTAGTCTTGCCCTATTACTGCATCGACTGGGTGGTCTTGAACCATCACTGGTTGTTCTTGGGCTACTATTTCTCTGCTGAGATTCTTGTGTTCCTGGTCGAGAATTGCTTCGTGACTCTGCATGCTTAAAGTAATATCCTTGATCTTCAGGCTTGGAAATAAAGCTTTTATCATTGCTTTTATAAAGATTTGATTCCTCACTACCTTTCTCAGGTAGTTTCTTAAGTAAATCATAAACCACATCAAACTTCGTAGCGATTAATGATTCAAAGGAGTTTTGCTCCTGTATTGCAGCCGAGACCTGCTCTTCCAAATGTTTTGTGCTAACCAGTTGAGACGCAGATACAGGTCTCATGGGTGGACGAACCTTGCTGTGAGAAGATTGCGGCCGCTTTACTGGATTGCTATTGAGAACCTCAAGTCTTGGTAGAGCTTTCAAGCAATTTTGATGATCAAGTGATAGTCCATTAAAACACGGATTATTAACAATGTTTAACTCTTTAATATTTTCACACTTCGACAAATCATTGCATATTTCCTTCAAATTATTAAATATATTCGATGAAATATCCAAAACTTCAAGTGCAGGAAATTGTTGTGGTATCTTTTTAACACCAGCTAATTTGTTATTACCAACATATAGTTGCTCCAAAGTTGTTACCGCACCAGAAATGTCTAAATTCCTAATGTCATTATGTTCGAGTCTAACGATGGTTAACGAGGTAGGCTTTTTAACCTGCTATACTTGATATCTTATTATTACTAAGATCAAGTTCTTGCAGTTTCTTGCACCTACCAAGATCTGGAATTTTAACAAGTGAATTATTAGAGGCATAAAACTCCTCCAAATTAGGCAGGCAATTGATAAATGAAATATCTACCAAGTTATTACTGGAAACATTCAGGAATGTTAATTTTGAGCATGCCGCAACCTCTGATACGGAAATATTTACAATCCCATTGCAATCCATGCGTAGACTTTTAAGCTTTTTTAAATTCCGAAGTCCTGTCCCAAGCTGGCAGATGCAGTTGTATTGCAGTTGTAAGGAACACAACTCTTTTAAATTGTCAAGACCACCAAGATTTTTTATCTTGTTTGAGTACAATTTAAGTTCCTTAAGTTCCACATTTTTCTGCAAGCCGGTAATATTCCTTATCTGGTTGCAGGATAGGTCTAAGCACCGAAGTTTGCTAAACTTTTCAAAGTGTTCCATCTTCGTCAATTTCGATCCGTGTAAATCTATTTCAAAAACACGCTGGGGGTTCGCTTCTCCATGCATCAGAAGAGTATTTTCCATCTCCGTTTGTTCGGGGCATTCAATGCCATCTTGTGTTGAGAGAACTTCAGAATTTTTGCTTGAGAATAAGTTGCTTTTACTTCGTTTATTGTAAACAACTCTTTCAGCCGTCGCCATGTTGATTTTCATCAAACCCACTGAGCTCTATACACACGAGCCTACCACTGGAGCCTACTAATATTCAAAATGGCGGACCAGGATGCAAGTTTGGACTCTTCTACAATAACTTCTATTTCTGCAGACGAGGCCGCGTTATACGATCGACAAATTCGATTATGGGGTTTAGACGCTCAAAAAAGGTATGCTTCCAGTGATATATTCTTATATAATGTATTATAGCTAGTATTATAGCTAGTATAAATATACAAATACAAGTAGTAATGTCCATTGTCCATTGACCATTGGGTCAATTTGGGTGCAGCACAGCATTGTTTTGTCCTACCATTTCTGTTTGAGTGTGTCATCAACAGACACCAAGTGTATATTACATTTTACTATTATATCTCAGGTTGCGTGCTTCAAAAGTTCTTCTTGTTGGTGTTAATGGACTCGGTGCGGAAATTTGTAAGAATATTGTGCTCTGTGGAGTAAAATCTTTGATGTTACTTGATGATCAAGAAGTGACAACCCAAGATTTCACAGCTCAGTTTTTGATCCCTAGAACGGATATTGGAAAAAATGTAAGAATTCCAAGGTGAAATTGGAATGGGTGGGGGAGGGAGGGGTGTGTGAGAGAGGGGCATGGGCAAGATACCTGTGGTTGAAAGGGTAAATTAATAGGTGGTCCAAATGAAGAAATATTCTACTTCATTGCTTAGCGTGCAGAGGCTAGCCTTCCCAGAGCACAAAGACTAAATCCAATGGTGGAAATAAAATTTGATGTCGAGCCTGTCATGAAGAAATCTAGCGAATATTTTGAACAATTTGATGTTGTCATTTTGACCGGATGTGTTCTGGAAGTTATGGTAAGAAAAAATCTGTATCAATTTTCAGGACTATTCTATTTCCCCAATTCAAATATTACAAACAGTATTTTTCTGTGTTAGATTCATGTAAACTCAATTTGCCATGAGAAGAAGATCAAATTTTATGCTGGTGACGTGTTGGGGTTTTTTGGATACGCATTCTGTGATTTAGTGGAGCATAAATATGTTGAGTGAGTTAATAACTTTGGCAATTACAACTGGTACTAGGCAAGATTAATTTTCAGCTCTTCATTTTCCACTATACATGGTTTGTCGTACACTGAATCAAACCATGTTTCCTCCAGAGAGCAGAGAACATCCACTGGAATAAATCTTACTGTAAGTGATGGCCCACCTGCTGAGAAAAAACCAAAACAAGAAGAAATTGAAACCATCATTGTTGAAAAGGTACAAAAGCAATTTCTAGTCTTTCTTTAGACACTTGATAAATGATGAGGAATGTGTCCATTTTAATGCGATTTGGTCATTGCTGATCTAATCCATTCTTCTCTGTCAAGTTTTTAGAGTTCAACTCACTAAAAGATGCTTTGGATACATCATGGGTCAAAGATCAGAAACCAAAGGCTTTAAAAAAGATATCAATTGTTTATTTTATATTTCAAGGTGGTGGCAGTTCAGGCAATACTTAAACATCTCCCATTCCAAGCAAAACGAAATTGACCTTACAATATATCCCCTAGATATATACCTCTTTCTCAGTCTGACTTTATTTATCATACTGTTTTAGTCTTACTAAAATTTCAAGAGAAGCATGGGCGAAACCCGCAAAGTTCGACTTCCAAACAAGACCTGGATGATCTTGTTCAGATAAAAAATGAAGTTTTTGAATCTTTAGATATAAGTGATGTTCTTGTTTTAGAGAATTTTGCAAGGTTTGTAGTTCATTTCTATGTTATTTAACATTAGGATTTTGAGAGTGAAAATGTATTTCTTTTGCCTGTAGTCAATGTTTAGGGACGTTAAGTCCAACAAGTGCAATTCTAGGGGGAATACTGGCACAGGATGTCATCAAGGTAAGACATAAACTGAAGCAAAATCAATCACTGCTAGCTTAGTATTAGCTGTGTATTTAGTACTTGCTATTAACTGATGTTTAGCAGGATATATACTGAAATAATTTTAGGCCCTGTCAGGAAAAGATGCACCTATCAATAATTTTGTTTTCTTTGATGGACGAACTGGTGAAGGCATGGTCGAATGCATGCCAATAAAAAGTTGAGAAAACAAAAGATGAGAACACATCTTTTTATATTTGTATATTTATTGTATAGATTTAGAGCACATAGTGAAGTCTGAGCAGTTCTGTCAACTATGAAATTATTGTACAGTACAAGTCTTTGTAAGAGTTCAAACACTATAATTATCAATCATTGATATTATTTTTGAAAATTTAACTTTAACTTAAATACTCCAATGCAGTCCGTGCTTTTTCCATCTCATGCAAAAATGAATAAAATTGAGGCAAAGTTAGTTCCATATACACATCTTCTTTCTTTCCTCCTTTGTCAACAACAAGTTTCAATTGTAAGAAAGAATTGCCGACAACTTTCATGTCGCTGCTAGCCGCTGTTACACCAAATTTCCATTCCATATCTACCAATGGGTTGACCATGAACGTTTGTGCCATGACAGAGCGTGATAACCCAATCAGATTTGCTTTCCATGTTTCCAAAAGATAAGGGGATTTGTCTTTTGATAAACCTTAAATTGTGGTAGGAATCAGTCAGTGAAAACCATTCAGTGAAAAATGGAGGGAGGGGCAAGGTGAGGGCTGCTATGAGAAGTGGGTGGAGGTAGATGCAACCATGAGAGGTGGGTGGAAGCAGAGGCCACCATGAAAAGTGAGTGGTGGAGGCAGAGGACACTATGAGAAGTGGGTGGAGGCAGGGGCTACTAAGGAGTGGGTAAGGGCAGGGGCCTGTGTAAGGCTGGGGAGTGGGGAGCTTTTAAGAAAAAGCAGATTACCTAAGTTCTCCATATCCTCTTGAACAGACTGTGGCGAAAGGTTTTGTTTCGCAGCGCTTTTGAAAAATGTCAATAATGTTCTGGTGATGTTTTTCAACGGGTTTAGACTTGCTCCAAGTTCCTGCGCAAACGACTCGAGATCAGACAGAAATTGCTCGGCATTTGTGGATCCTATAAGGAACTGAAGAACTTGATCTACAAACTTTTTAAATCCATCTTCACTAAACTTATTCAAAGCTTTTACATCGGTGAACATTTGATTTCCAGGTCTCTCTTTGGTAAAGTGAAAAGTCAAATCTGGAGCAGACGAAGCCATTTTTTCAATAACAAAATAATCCCCCTAATCCCATTCTGTTCACAAAAACTCATATATATCCCCATTTATTCTTATACCTCCCATTTTGTAGTTTAGTATCCATATTTATTCATATTTAACCCATAATGTACCCTAGTGTGGCCTATAGTTTCCTTATGTACATTAAAATACCCATATGTTCAATTATGACCGCAAATATCCCTAAACCTAGGACCCAAGCCTATAATTGAATGACACGATCTCACAATAAAAATAGTAGAAATCATTAGAAAAAATTTTGGAAAGGTTTTGGTTAGCAAAACGTGCGAGGTTTTTTTAAAGAAATACAATGGTTCTCGTGGAGAATGATGCAGTAAGTTCCCTGTGTTTTCATTATGTTCATATATAAATTTCTAACTTTGACTAACCTCTACTATGGTACAGCAATTCATATATTTGTTTTACGACTTTTAGTTTTTAACCCAACTCACCCATCTTTATAACAAAACCAGGACGTCTGGAACTGTTTGGGTCACAATGAAAGCTTGTAAGTTTCGTTTATATAAGTAGAGTTATGGACGTATGGGTTTCATCTTTTATTTCTCTCACAATTCCATTGTTAGAATCGTCTTAAACCACTATAACCTGGCTTAGTTCTAGCCAAGAGGTTTTTGCTATGAATTGTTTACACTCATATTGTAAACAGGCCAAGAAGTGGTCTGCATATCACAACCATCTTGTAAACTAACAAAGCTGGCAACCAGAAGGACATTTGTACAATTTGTGGTTTCTCGAATGCAGTCCATGGCCTTGAAAATGCCTGAGATATATATTTTACTTGTGCCTTTCTCCAGTTTAACATGGAATGTTTCACTAGATCACGGTAGAACGAAGCCAATACCAAGAGGAAAGAAGAAAGATAAAAGTGCTTTACTAGAAATGGAGGGAAGCGAGAGTAAATGTCTTATAAGAGCAACAAATGGGAAAAAGAAAATAAGTACAGTGGTAAGCAAACTAGTGTATTGTCATATATTTGTTAAGTATTAGCAGTGAACTATTCTGATAACAATTGTTTGATTTTTTTATATAGATTAATTCAAAAGATGTCAATAGATTTCAACAGGTAATAATGACTAACATTGGCACCTTTGTGCACATATGAACCATGGAAAGATATTTATTGCTGGTGTAAAAGTGTCCAAGGACAGCTATCTTGCTAGCAAGTATTGTACGGTAAATTTACTAACATTTTTGGGTTCTTTACAGGCATATACAAGCGTACTAAAAGGTTGTCTTGATAACTTGAAAAAACGAGAAAGAAAAACAGCGAAAAGCAAGAAAGCCAAGGCCACACAATAAAATAAATTAGAAGATAAATTAGGCTTATTGTCCATCCTAAGGTGTAGAGAATGTGTTATACAACTTACCCACCTAATAAATCAAGCTCTGATTTTGAAAGTGTGAAGATTAGAGCAGGCTTGTAAGTTATAACTAGTTAGGTAAGAGAATATGACTTCAACTGAACCACTTTGGTTAATAAATTATACAAAAATGTCTGTCAAATATATTAACTATTTGAGTTTTAACCAAAGTGTCAGGTGAAGACAAAAAAATGTAAATAAAATTTTGTTGTGGTGAATTAATTTTGTATGGTATTCATCACTGATTGTGATAGCAAGTTTTGGGTAAATTATTGTCTTATATTATTTAATATTTGACAGGAACATTGTAGTAGGTAGTTGAGTATACAAATCAATAAATTTTTAAGTAATTTTCTTTATCACTTTTATGACTTTGATTATTTCGTCTTGATACTTTGGATGGAGTTTTTCCTTTTGAACCTAAGAAATAAAGGTTGAGAAATATGTTATTTCTTATTTTGATATGTTGATATTTTGTCTTATGTTGGAGTGAGTGAAAGTGAATCATATTGCTTGAGAGCTTAGTATCTACATTAGAATAAATAGAAAGGATGTGACTCATGTGAGGGGAACACTAAAAGGATGAATATACCAAACCACTAACTTCAAAGGTACTGTAACCATTCTCCCTCATAACATCTACAAATGCGGTTTCACCCTTCCGATTTCTTCCCATAGAGACAAACATGACTCCATCCTCAGCAAGTAACTGCAATGCACTGTAAGCAAGTAGTTTTGAGTCAGACTCATCATACAGCACCTCGGCTGCAACAATGATGTTGAACTTTCCATGTGGCTTCATTAAAGCTTTCGTATCTTCACCCCAAGTGTATGACATGACCAGAATACTGTCTTTCTTTAAATCACAGCTGTGTTTATCCACATTTATCTTTAGTGTTGGCAGGCAAACATCCATGTCAGTCAACAGAACATATTTCGCACCCATATATGAAAGTGCAAGGCCTACAAGCCCACAGCCTGCTCCGAGTTCTAGCACAGTAGAATTTCTGAGATGTTCGATCAATTGAGAGTCATTTTCAAACATTTTAGCAAGAGCGATGCTGCCATCCCAAACTGTACAGCCTAGTCCTTTGTAATTTTGTTCCAAACTTAGCTGGCTAGTAGGCTCAGAAATACCATTCTCTATGGTTATTTTAAATGGCCTCTCAAACTTGTCCTTATTTGTTTTGTATTCTTGTCTTATCCAAGAACTTGGTTGATTTTGCATTGCACTTAAAATATCTTAATATTTATACCATATACTATAATAATTTAGATCAATATTGAACCTGATATATTGATGGAAGTTTATGGTCATTAATAGTAAAACTAAGATTTCCTATTGAATAGATTATGCATATGGTAGTGGAAAGTATGGTGGATAGCACCACTTCAAAGGATTAAAAAATGGGCAGAACTGTTCAAAGGACTGGAAAATATTGTTATAAAATAACTTAATAGATTAGGGAGAACATCAACAGTATTACTTCCCAATCAATCAATCAATCAGTATCTGTACTTCACAGTGGTGTATCTACATCGAACTTTTCCTTAATTTATGGAAGTAAATGGAAGCGTTTCGCTTCTCTTCCGGATGTGAAAGGGAAGAAAGGGAAAGTCAAAATGGCGGAAAATTCAAAACGAAACAGAAACGAAAAAAATTGAGGCTTAGTTTGACGTTGTCCTGGATCAACCTGACGTTTACAACAAGACAAAAAAATACCATCATATCTTCTGTAAGTTAGATTATATATTTACTAACAAAGAAAACAAAATTGTACAATATATTTTCAAATTTATTATCTTCATTGTGTAATACCATAGGCAGCCCAGACTTTGACTTGCGCGTGTGATATCGAGGTTGACTGTGAATACCAGTCAGAGCACTGATGATGCGGAAGAGTACATACGGTTCGTGGCAAAGAATGCAGTTCCAAATGCAATCACAATACAAGAAGTGGAGAAAGAGTCCGCAAATGATACAGAACTTTCAAAGGTGAGAATGTGTATTCTAACAGATAGTCAATGGGAATCGGTGGATGTATCTTACAGATCCGTCAGACAGGAACTTAGTGTCCTTGGGAAGCTAGTAATTCGTGGTACGCGTTTGGTGATACCAAAATCGTTGCAGAAGAAGGTATTGAAATTGGCTCATGAAGAACACCAAGGAATCGTGAAGACCAAACAACGTTTAAGAAGTAAAGTTTGGTGGCCAATCATTGATAAAGAAGTAGAAAGAGAATGTCGTACGTGTCATGGATGTCAAGTTGTACAGTCACCTTCACGTCCAGAACCAATGGTAAGAACATTATTGCCTGAAAGTCCATGGGAGATTCTTGCTTGTGATTTACTTGGTCCAATAGATGGTAACATTTACATCTTAGTAGTTATAGATTACTACAGCAGATGGATTGAAATAGACATTCTGAAATCTATTGCATCACTTGAAAGAATGTTTCTCACACACGGATTACCTTATGAGATAACTTCGGACAATGGTCCACAGTTCGTGTCGTCTTAAATTGAAGAATTCTGTGAAAAGAATGGCATTTATCATAGACGTATAACTCCGTTATGGCCACAAGCTAACGCAGAAATAGAAAGGCAAATGAGAAATTTGAACAAAATCATAAAAATAACTTATGCACAAGGAGCAAATTTAGAGAAGAACTATATAAATTTTTGATGACGTATCGTACAACACCGCATAGCACCACTGGAAAAGCACCTGATGAGATGTTGTTTAAAAGGCATCTTCGTACAAAGATACCAGAGTTGGTTCCAGTAGATAAATTGGACGAAGACATACGTGATAAAGACGCAAGAGTTAAGCAAAAAGGAAAAGAATATGGGGATGAAAAAAAAAAGCAAGAGATTCAAATCTTAAGGTTAATGATAAAGTGTTGTTACAGCAAAAGAAAAGGTGTAAGACAACATCAACATATGAACATGATCCATATGAGATTGTGAATGTAAATGGTTCGCAAGTGATGATTAAGTCTGATGAAGGTGTTCTATATAAACGTAATTCTTCGCATGTTAGAAAGTTCGAAGAAACAAGTTCACAATTGGAACAGGAAACAGTTGATCGTGACGAAGAAGAGAGTGACAGATCACAGACTGTTAGAGGTAATGTAAGGAGTTCTTCAAGAAGTACGAAAGGGAAACCGCCAGATAGACTGAATTTATGACTATAGATAGATAAAGAAATAACATTTAAGTAATATTTAACATAGATGATGAAATAGCATTTGAACAGTTAAAATTAGTTAACGTGACAGAAACCCAAACAAAATCACTGAACATCATTGAACAGAAACGGGTAAAAGATCCACAGAAATCGAGGAGAAATGTCCATTATATCGGTGTGTAGAAACCAAAGATGACTGCTGCGTAGTATATCCTATAGCTTCGTTTGACAGTTGACAATGTTTCGCTGCTTGTGAAGAACGAAGAAGATTCGATATTTCAGAATGTAGTCTTGTACCGAGTGATGTCACGGTAGTCAGAATCATATCAGGGTGGCTTTAGTGTATTTCGATCAAATCATAGAGAACAATTCGTTCTAAATCACTTTATTCACCACTGTCTTATAAAACATATATACTTATATAACAACATGGCTGTCTTATATATACTGTTGCGTAAAAATGGCAGAATTTTCAGTTTCCTTTACGCTGGAATGTTATTATTCTCATGGTTTGACGGAGTCTTAGGTACACGACGAAGTATAAATAATTTTAGGCTTTTCCTTTTTACGAAATAACGGAATATTTCTGAAGTATCTTGCTCATTTATAAGTTTAGAGTATATATTATTAAATACTGACTATTGGATTGTTGTTTGTCACCCCCCCTTTATACCTTAAGTCTTAAGTACACAAGATGCTTCATAGTGACATATTCCCTTATATCTTACAACTGAAGAGTGTATTGTATAGATTATGATTTTACTCTGCCATTTGGTGTAACGCATTGCTGTATCATAGTCTCATGAATCATTTTCTTCTGAAGGTCAAAATACGTGGTTCTCTAAGGGGGATCTCCGAAGAAAGTTTTCAGAGAATGAATCAAGAAAGCAAGGGATTACTGCGGATAAAAAGTCGCTTTTCAAAAAGAGGGCGAATGACTTTGACCATAGACAGAACGTTGATGGAAATCCTCAAGATAAAGCCAAGCAGGAATCAAGAAATCTATTATCAAAAGCTGCACCTTATCCTTATCCTGCACCTTATCCTTATCCTGCACCTTATCCTTATCCTGCACCTTATCCTTATCCTGCACCTTATCCTTATCCTGCACCTTATCCTTATCCTGCACCTTATCCTGCACCTTATCCTGCACCTTATCCTCATCATTCTTCATCATCACTTGCAGCAAGATCGTCACTTGATCGTCCAGATGTTCCTGCCCCATCGTCTTCATCAAAGTCATCAAGGGAGTCAAACCCTTCACCCGCATCCCCACGTTTATCGTCTTATGAAGACAACCCTCCCCCTTGTCCACTTTCACCTCTTCGATCATTACAGCCGCATAATTCTCAAACCCCAAAACCTCCTGTCACTCCTCCATTTCCAAGCTTTGACAATCCCCCACATCGTCCTTTATCCCCACCTCCTTCCTTACCGAGGCCACCCTCTGTGTATTCATCGTTTAGAAACAAACGTAGTAGTTCATCAATCTCGTCACCTCCACCATCCTCTGATACTCCCACCTCCTCTCCCGCATCCCCTTCACATTCGCCAGAACCTCCAAGCTCTCATGCCACAACCCCTCCTGCATCACCTCCGTCATATTATCCTGCACCTTACCCTGCACCTTATCCTTATCCTGCACCTTATCCTTATCCTGCACCTTATCCTTATCCTGCACCTTATCCTGCACCTTATCCTGCATCTCAAGGTTGATTTTGCATTACTTCAAAATATCGTAATATACCATATACTGTAATAATTTAGATAAATTTTGAACCTGATATATTTATAGAAGTTGATGGTCATTAATAGTAAAACTAAGATTTCCTATTGAATGGATTATGCCTATGGTAGTGGAAAATATGGTGGATAGCACCACTTGAAAGGACTAAAAAATGGGCAGAACTGTTCAGAGGGCTGGAAAATATTGCTATAAAACAACTTAATAGATTAGGGAGAACATCAAGAGTATTATTGCTGCCCTATCAATCAATCAGTATCTGTACTACATAGTGGTGTATCTACATCGAACTTTTCCTTAATTTATGGAAGTAAACGGAAGGAAGCGTTTCGCTCACTGAGCTATATAATAATAATAATATAATAATAATATAATATAATATAAAATATTATAATATAATATAATATAATATATAATATAAGATAATATATAATATAAGATAATATAATATAATATAATATAATATAATATAATATAATATATATAATATAATATATAATATAATATATATAATATAATATAATATAATATAATATAATATAATATAATATAATATATAATATAATAATAATAGCTATATATATATAGCTCAGTGGTTTCTCTTCTCTTCCGGTGAAAGTGAAGAAGTCAAAATGGCGGAAAATTCAAAACGAAACAGAAACGAAAAAAATGAAGCGTAGTTTGACGTTGTCCTGGGTCAATCTGACGTTTACAACAAGACAAAAGAATACTATCATATCTTCTGTAAGTTTAATTATATATTTACTAACAAAGAAAACAAAATTGTACAATATATTTTTAAATTTATAATCTTCATTGTATAATTATACCGGATGTAAATTTGTAAACGCCATGTTGCGTTTTTTTCCAAGAACGGAAATTCTTGTGAAGAATATACTTTCGGTTTCGTTATATTGCCTAACGACAGTTTGTTTGAATTCAAATATATCAGCAAACGGCGTAACGACATTGAGCGGGACATCGCCTAAAAGGACATACAAATGTACAAGGTTATTCTGCAGAATATCTTGTCCTCAGTACGTGTCATTTTAAAGTAATTTTGACTTGTATTGTATAGTATTGTTTGGTCAAATTGTGCAAGAAGATATTGCAAACTATCCATTTCTGAGTCTGAAAACAGTTTGCTTAAAAATAGTCTAAGAAAGATGAGTTTCACCTTGTACATGTTTGAAAGTGATTACAAAGGAATCACAGATTTTGTTTTGGGATACACGAACATCGAAACAGGAGGTGATCTTTTTGGTTTGTGGAAAGCCAATGGTGATCCGGTTGTTCAATTGATTATAGGACCAGGACAGAAATCAAGACGTACCTCAGTGTCATTTCATCAAGATACAGACTACCTCGCCAGAGTTGGTACATATGTTAATACCAATTTTATGCTTTGCCACATTGGCAGTTGGCATTCACATCACCAGTTGAGTCTGAAGCAACCAAGTGCAGGAGATAGGAGCACAGTCTGCAATAATTTTCCACAGGGTCTTAAAAGGTACATCATGATTATTGCAAACATAACGAGAGACCGACATAGGCCGGTTGCTATTCACCCTTTCATGTTTACCAACGGTGGACATGTTTGTAAAGAAGGAAGTGTTAAACTTATTCGTGAGCAAAATCCATTCCTTGAGTATGGTTATGTATTACATTGTATTGACCAGGGAAAAGAACGCCCAGTAGCAACCAGCAATGCATATGCTTCTGCTGCACCAGCCGGATACCACAATCGACCATCAACACAATCAAAACTTGGAGTTGATTCAAAACAACATCAATCTCAGCATGATAACAGAATCTATACGAAACATCAAAACTTATTTTCAACAGATGACGATAGCGCTGGCCGTCATTCACCAATGGACATTGACCCACCAATGGACACTGACCCACAAATGGATACTGACCAGCCTCACAACCATTACATTACCAGACAGCAACAAACCAATCACTCACAGTATCATGACAAAAATTCAAAGCAATTGGACAATTCAGAAACTAAGCAGTGGTACGAGACTGAGAAAGGTGGGGCTATAGTCAAAGAAATCCATGAAGAAGTAACCAACAAAATGGCCAGCAATATTGATTATCACCGCGATGCAAATACCAAAGATCTTACCATGAAATTCCGTCATGCTCACAAAAGCTGGAGTGTATTGTTTCCGAAATCATTTGCCAACAAGCCTGCTGTAATTACAAATGAAACTAGTGGAAAATCAATGTCATCTAAAAGTATACTCCAAGATGTCAGAGAAATGTGTCACTGTGTGGAATGTGGAACAATACCTCGTAATAATGATCCTCGTTCTCCTTTATTACCACACCCTTCTTCCTCCAGACGAGATCTCTCCCCCTCTAAACGAGATCCCTCCATCTCCAGACGAGATCCCTCCCCCTCCAGACGAGATACCTCTCCCTCTAAACGATATCCCTCCCCCTCCAAACAAGATTCGTCACCCTCCAGACGAGATCCCTCCCCTCCGACGATCCCTCCCCCTCCAGACGAGATCCCTCCCCCTCTAAAGGATATCCCTCCCCCTCTAAACAAGAAACCTCACCCTTTAAAAGAGATTTCTCTTCCACAACCTATCATTCTCCACCTTCCACTCCTACAAAACAAGACCGTCACTCTGATCGACACAGACCTTACCCAACTAAGTCGGCTTCAAGGCCTCGGACTGGAAGAAAAGGCCAAGATCCATCCCAACCTTGGTATAACACAGCATCTGGTAAAGCCATTGTAGACAAGATAAAAACTGAACTTTCTGCATATTTAAGATCCACCACCTGTTCTGGCAGAGTTAAAACTCAAGACACAGATGTTTCAAAGAAACTTTCTTTCTATCATTCCTCCGAAGACTGGGTTGTTGAATTTTTAAATAACCCCTATAAAGAAGTGAAAGTGACGTTTTATGGAAATAAAACAAAGACATTATTACCTCCATATGATGTTGTGAGTATGCTGAAGAATAATTGTCTATGCCCAGAATGTCGGCCAAGAAAACGAAGCCCAAGCGCTGGTAGAAGGCAAACGCCAACATCACGGCATGCGAAGAATCAACCAATCCTCTCCAACCAGAGTCTCATCCACGCCCAGTCCAACTTTTTTTGCAAGCGGAAAAGGCGAGGAACAATTTCAGAAAATCTACATGGATATTAAAAGCCTGAGTGAGAAAGATGTAGACATTCAGAGACTTATCGATTCCAGGAAAATCGAGGTCAAGTTTGAACACAACCGCAGAAAATGGAAAGTGATCTTTCCCTTCAAGTTTCCTGAAGAGGCAGCAGTTGTTCAGCAGCAGTCCACGCGTGTGTACTCACGTCAAAATGTAAATCACTTTATTCCTGTTGAAAAAGGTGACGTTCTTCGTGCAATCAGAAAAGATTGCGGCTGTCGATCTTGTAAAAGATATCAATATTGATTCCACAGTAATCTATATATATACTGGATGCGTACGTTGAGTTCTTGTAAACATACATTGGAAGTAATTTTTTTATAAAACGTCCGGGTGATTTTAATGAAACTGGTGGTGCTGCCAAGTCACGATTGTTATTCGAATTAACACCATTTGTAATTAGTATATATCAATTGATTGAAACAACTTAATTCGGTAAATAATGTATGCTAAAAATTATCCTTTTTTCTACTTTATAAATCTTCATAGAACTTCACTATAACATCCACTTAGTTGATCATGTGTGTAAATATTTTTAGCAGTATAAAATGTTTATTTTCTATTCTCTAAATGTTGAAATATAATGATTTTCTCGTGCATCACTTTTATGTTAGAATCCAATTTATTCAAAGAGCTTCGCCGTGAGTCTAACCGAGTACTCTGCCGCCTTCAGTTTCACCAGAATTATAAATGTTTTGACCAATTAGGTCCACTCCATGCAACTGCTAGGCGATGAGAGCAGTTTAAACTAATCAGTTTGTGCTTACGAAGCTAGCGTTGACCCTATTTATATTTCGCGCAGTGAGCATGCATGACCTAGCTAGTGAAGGCAAAATATTAAACGTTGCCACCCTGATATGATTCCACTACCGTGACATCACTCGGCACAAGACTACATATTCTGAAATATCGAATCTTCTTCGTTCTTCACAAGAGACGAAACATTGTCAACTGTCAAACGATGCTATAGGATATACAACTACACAGCAATCACCTTTGGTTTTCTACACGGCGATATAATGGACATTTCTCCTCGATTTCTGTGGATCTTTCACCCGTTTCTGTTCAATGATGTTCAGTGATTTTGTTTGGGTTTTCTTCACGCAGTCTAAGCAGTGACCAATGTTGCGTAAAAATGGCAGAATTTTCAGTTTCCTTTGCACTGGAATGTTATTATTTTCATGGTTTGACGGAGTCTTAGGTACACGACGAAGTAGAAATATTTTTAGGCTTTTCCTTTTACGAAATAACGGAATATTTCTGAAGTATCTTGCTCATTTATAAGTTTAGAGTATATTATTAAATACTGACTATTGGATTGTTTGTCATCCCCCCTTTATACCTGTCTTAAGTACACAAGATGCTTCTAGTGATATATTCCGTTATATCTTACAACTGTAGAGTGTATTGTATAGATTATGATCTTACTCTGCCATTTGGTTTAACGCATTGCTGTATCATAATCATTGTGGGTCAGTGTGACACAGGTTTTCACTGTATACATCGCCCTTGCTTCAAACATACTCGATACAATGATAAACGTCAACGTTGTGTGAAATGGAAGCGATGTTTGCCTTTTAAAAAAGACCAAGAAAGGCGCGCTCAATACTTTTATATGCATTTGAAAACCGCAGAGGTTGAGATGGAAACTTTCCAACTATTTTCTGTTTGAAGCCATGAATTATAGTCAACAGCGTTCAGTCTAACTTAACGCATGCATGATTTTAAAACACGAGAGTTAATTTCGAGGCTAATTTTTTTCATCAATCATTTTCTTCTGAAGGTCAAAATACGCGTTCTCTGAGAGGATTTCCGAAGAAAGTTTTCAGAGAATGGGTCAAGGAAGCAAGGATTTCTACGATGAAAGCTTTTCAAAAAGAGGACGAATGAGTTTCACCATAGACAGAACGTTGGTGGAAATCCTCAAGATAAAGCCAAGCAGGAATTAAGAAATCTATTATCAAAAGCTGCAAGCAAGACGCATGTAAAACGATATCATTTACAGCAAAGTATTCCAGTATTCCTCCCGTCATTACCAGACGGTATATCAAGAGATATCTCACTTAGCAGGAGATATAAACCAAGAAATTACAATTCGAAACCTCTCAAGAAGATACAACGAAGAACTGACAAGCTTCAGCACAATGTTCCTTTATTTCTTCCATCCACGCAGGATGGTATCTCAAAGGAAATCACACTCCGAGGTCCTAATATGGGTTTACCATCGCCGGCTTTTCAAACGGATAGCAAAACTCACCCCCCTGGGACTTGTCAACACCGGACAATTTTACGGAATGTGCGTCTGAAACACGGGAGGAAGTTGGCGACGTTTGAATTACGTGGTCGTGTTGGAACTATGGGTAAATGTTTGGAAAAATGTTGCAGAAGACGTTGGTGTGATCTAGCATTCAAAGTTGGCGGGTATTGTTATTCCGTTCATTGCCCCACTGACGAGGCTTGTGAGCCTGCGAGCGCTCAGGATTCCGGGACACCTTCGGATTACGTGTTGTTAGAAAGGCCACGGGATTTGAACTATAGTGAGTAATTATTGAGATAACCATTGTTTGATGCAATTTGCAATACCAACATCGTAATTTGCAGGTTTGAAATTGTATTTATGATAATCTTCTTCGATTTTAGAAAGAAATTTAATCCCAGGCGTAGTAGGACAAGGTAACCTGGTTATTTTGTTAAAATATTTATATGTTTTCATACAGTCGATATGAGTGCGTTTGAATAGTTTAATTTCTAATAGCCTCAAGATATCTTCTTATGCAAAAGGTCACTTTCTTGAAAGCGCTTGTTGATTTAATGCACGCCGGCAGAGGTCTTACGTTTATTTCTAGATTCGGGAAGTCAAGCTAATAACACCTACAGTGACATATAGAAATTATTTTTTCACAGGGGAAAAGATTCTAACAGTTCAACTCAACATCACCAATGAAAAATGGAGAGCACCTTTGGCCGACCCCGAATCACTGGAATTTTTGAACGTCGCTGAACGTGTTGAAAATGCTGTACGTTATTCAATTCAGCCTTCCTCGATGTGTTCACCTAAAACACCATCTTCTCTTTATTCACTTTACTTAAATCACGACTAATATGTTACGTGTTGTATTCTCCCCATCTCAGGTGTCGATTCTTCTCAAAACTGTTGTCGGTTTCAAAAGTTGCGAGGTCGCCAGTTTTCGGTACGAGTTCTTTGCACTATTTTGTGTCATCATTTAATCCTATCTTCCATTGCTTTCATACAATTTACACATTCTGTCATCCAATGTTTAGTCCAAGTCCTCTGATAGCAAACGTGACGCTGAAAATATTAAATTCGAGCCACGCCAACGAGACAGGTTCTTTCTTGTTGAAAGCTGTCGTGGCAGGGAAGATGGATTCCACCCTGGAAGACGCCAGCGAGCATTTTAAACTATCTCAGGATGGTTTTGAATTAAAGTCATCGCAAGGTGAGTCATCCATCACTCATTCACTCTGTTAAAAGAAACGTGTTCAAATTTATCTTTCTGGAATTTGGAATATACTTCAAAGAGAAAGAATCTTTCATCCGAGGTGTGATCAACGATACTTGTACAGGAGCGAGTACTGTGTTGATTACTAATTTTCAAACTTATTCGTTATAGGAAAAAGCTTGGTTTGTCATTCTGAAATTAATTATCAAGTTATTTGGAGTTTGAAGATATATGGTGAATCTGATATCCAGCCTTGTCCACGGGGGGCCCAGGGTAAGAATACCGTTTATCTTCATGAGCTAAGAAGTTCTATAATTTTTGTTCTCTTTGATCCATTAAATCCTGGCTGTTATTTGAATTATAGGCGAATGTTCACGGCTTTGTTTGGGAAGTGAGGCTGAGACAGCGTCATGGGATGTGCCAAATTTCAGTGGCTGTACTTCGCTCGAGTTTAGGAACTTGCATGAGAAGGTAAGATCGGCCGTTAAGAAAAATCGAGGCTAGCGATCTATTTACTTATCAAAGACGGACAGGCTACGAAGACTCTCGGGAAAGATGGAAATTTGAGCCCCCACCACAAACATGGATCGCTCATTTTAAAGGATTGCTGTTTTCTGGCTAACCTAAAACTTAATCATCCTTCTTTTAGGCAAAGCAGCTCAAGAGCGAGGCACAAGCTAAGCTACCTTTGGATCAGATCGAAACTAAGCTCGGCATCAAACATACTGAAGTTCTTAAAAAGCTTCAGAAACTGACATATCATCACACGTTCCGTGAACAAATTATGAAGCAAGAAGATACAAACAAGACGAACAAGACTAGCCACCAAACATTTCGAGATTCACACAAGATTAATAAACTCTATAATACTACAACGACGAAAACAAACCAGCAAAGAGAACCGTTCAAACCTCAACCGAGACCTCAAGGACTGTTATCTTTGACCAATCAACTGTTAAATATCAAGAAGCAGCCAGGAGAGAAAGTTGGAATGGACAAGAAAGGAAGGAAGATGCAAAATGAAATTAATCGCACTTTGTCGATTGTGGATAAAATCGGCCTCTTGCAACCCAATGCCTCTCTTCATGGTTCTGAACCAGCCCGACCCGGCAGTTATCATATCTTAAACCACACTGATCCTGGTCCAGTTCACCACACTTCTGACACGAACAACGCTTCATCCCTGGTACCGCACGAACCAAGCTCAGTACAGCACGAATCTGGCCCAGCACAGCACGAACTTAGCCCAGCACAGCACGAACCTGGGCCAGTACAGCACAGACCTGGTCCAACCCAACACGGACCTGGTCCAGTACAGCAGACACCTAGTCCACTAAAGCACGAACCTGGTCCAGTGCAGCACGAACCTGGGCCAGTACAGCACGGACCTGGTCCAACCCAACACGGACCTGGTCCAGTACAGCAGACACCTAGTCCACTAAAGCACGAACCTGGTCCAGTGCAGCACGAACCTGGTCAAACACAACACGAGACTCGCCCACCTCCGCACGCAATTCCTCCACGTTCGAACAAAACTCGCTTACCAATCATTGATCCTATTGAACGTCAACGCGATCCTCAGCCAATCGTAGAGAAAGGTCAAAACCGAAACGATGTCTCTGTGTCCGTGAGCGTGTCTGGTGAGTTCGGCGAACCAGCTGAAAATGAAACCGATCTTTCTGGCGTGTTCTTAAAAAGCGGAACGGACAATATACGAAGTCGTATACCTGCCTCGAGGGGTTTTAAAACTCAGAGTAGTCATTCACTTGTGCAGGGACCCACTTCCATTAGCAAGAACATTGCCCAGTGGGACAATCTTCCGAGATCAATTCCTCGTGGTGTTAATGATCCCATAGTGTCAAAACACCGGGGTTCCAAGACCGTATCTAATGCCTTGTTAAAGTGGCTGAATGCAGGACTGAAGAAATATGATACTCATCCAAACTCTTTCAGGCGGAAAACAAGGCTTCGTTCTCCATTGTCGAGCTCCCATCCCACACAGGAGTATAATACACCTTTAAAAGCCCCAAAGAGAGTTGAGACGCCTCACCCACGAACGTCGCTGGATAGCCAAAGTAATCCAACTCATGCATTCTTCAAGCGCTCCTTTATACTGAGGCCAGAGTCAGGGGAACGAGTGAGGGTAAGACGTCAAACTGAGGGATGGAATCAAGCTCAGAATTACTACACTACATCAGTTTATGACAATGATCCTAGACAAGATAATCCTTCAAACAGATATTCCTCTCATACGGATCCTTCAGACGGAGACCAAACGAAAAATAAAATTAGATATCCTTCAGCAAGTATTGAGGAAAAGCCTTCTGATGGTGATGCACAGAAGAGAGGAGCAAATGCAATGAAAGGCAGCGTTTCACCTGTGATCAATAAAAATGCGTATTTCACAGGAATTAATGTAAACTCCCAGCCAGAGGAAATGAAGAGTAGCGAAACTAATCCAATGCCTGGTCATTCTTCATCATCACTTGCAGCAGGATCGTCACTTGATCGTCCAGATGTTCCTGCCCCATCGTCTTCATCAAAGTCATCAAGGGAGTCAAATCCTTCACCCGCATCCCCACGTTTATCATCTTATGAAGATAACCCTCCCCCTCGTCCACTTTCACCTCTGCCATCATTACAGCCGCATAATTCTCAAACCCCAAAACCTCCTGTCACTCCTCCATTTCCATCCTTTGACAATCCCCCACATCGTCCTTTATCCCCACCTTCTACCTTACCGAGGCCACCCTCTGTGTATTCATCGTTTAGAAACCCTCCTAGTAGTTCACCAATCTCGTCACCTCCACCATCCTCTGATACTCACACCTCCTCTCCGTTACAATCCAACCCTGCCCCCGCATCCCCTTCACATTCGCCAGAACCTCCAAGCTCTCCTGCCACAACCCCTCCTGCATCACCTCCGTCATATTACCCTGCATCCCCCTCTCATCCTCGCCCACCGTATCCTGCGCCTTATCCTGCACCACCTCCACCCTATCCTGCACCTTATCCTGCACCACCTCCACTCTATCCTGCACCTTATCCTGCACCACCTCCACCCTATCCTGCACCTTATCCTGCACCACCTCCACCCTATCCTGCACCACCCCGACCCAATCCTGCACCACCTCCACCTTATCCTTCACCACCCCCAGCTTATCCTTCACCTTATCCTGCACCCCGACCTTATTCTCCACCCCCACCTCCTCCAACACCGTCTCCCCCTCCCTCGCCATACAACCCCACAACCTCACCCAATGATGTCCAGCCGCAAAACAATTCATCTCCTTATATAACAGAGTCGAACCCTAAATCAACGTATGATTCATATTTCTCGTCTTCCTCGCAAGGAAACAATTCAGCTGATAACTCACCTAGTTCTACCTACCAAACACCCACCTACCAAAATGATAACCCACAAAACAACTCATCACCTTACCCAACAGCGTCGAGCCCCAACCCAACCTATGGCACCGCACCTAATACATACCCTCAACCGCCAGCTTACTATACTTCAGCACCCTCTTCCCAAGGTGGCAACTCGCCATACAATTTATCTTCCACTCTCGCCGCTCTGAACTCCAACCCAACCGATGATTCACACCTAAATACAACGAACACAGCTAGCAACGAATACTCCAGTGACAAAAATGACTCCAGTTATTCAACTGGTAATGATTATAGCATAAAAAACGTCGACGATTCACTGAACAACGTCTCGTTGAACTATTCAGATCATAAGCTAATATCGGACTATAATATGACCACGCAACCTTTGGACACCAACGTAACCGGCACAAATCAAGATTATAACAATATTTACAGCAAGGACTACAACTTGACTTTTCAAAATATAGCGGATAATTTACCAACGGATTCACCTACATCAACCAGCACTGCTTCCACAAAAGCCAGCGATATCTCGTCACAAAACTATTTATATAACGACCTTGGTAACTCCCAGGTAGTCGTCGGTTTCACAAACCAAAGTTCGCTACAACCGAACCTTAATCGCAGCACGAGTGACGTACAAGAGTTGGGCTCAATTGTCTATGGCGGCCAGAAACCACGACTGACAATCAAAGACATGGAAAAGAGAATTCAGGAATTCTCTAGCGGTTACAACGATAAACAAGCGACCGGAAATAAGAAAACTTTAGTAGAAACGGATGGAGAACGTGATGATATAAAGGTTAAAGGGAAACATCTTGCTCCCATGTTTGGTGGTGACCTGTTGCTTGCCGCTGACACTGTTACACATTTAGCAAAGTTTAATGACTTCATAAGACCACCAATGAAAGTAGAAGATGTGAAGGTAGGGTGTTTTAATTGTGTACATAGCTTTATGTTAAAGTCTTTATGCCAGTTTACTCGATCTAAGGTCTCGTGTATCGTGTTTTTGTTAGGATTTTCTGAAGTCTTGTAGTAATATTTTGGATTTGATGAATTCACGAGAGTGGAAGAACGCGCAAAGGGTATTATGATTTATCTAACGCTATCATCTTTAGGCAGTTCAGTGGCGAAGTTCTCACACAACTTTACCGTGTTTCTTTAGCATGTGACGAAATTGAGAAAATTTGGAGTGAATATCATGAATGATGGCAACGCCGTGGACTGGGAACAAGCCTCAAGAAGAGATCTTGCAGTATGTTATTAAGTATCCTTTCATTGACATTTGATGAGAAGAGAGAGCTTAGTGGCTTAGTCATTTATCTAACGTGCACCCTTTTAGGGAAAAACCAGCAGTTCTTCAACACTGTATGAAATGGTGGAGGCAATTGAAGGGTTTGGCTTATCTGCGTCTTATCAGGTGAAGAAACCCACAAAGGGACCAATCTTTACTAAGAATATCTGTAAGTATATATCTTCATTTTATATTTGTTTATAATACATAATGGATGTAGATTGAGAGACAGGTTTATTTATTCTGGATAGCTCTATAGCTCTAGCTTTAAATGTCCAGTAAGGAACATCTATTATAACTTCAAGAAGATCAACTCTATTGATACTAAACCGTCCTCATGAAGCCCATGCAGTGAAGTTAATCACCTTTTTGAAATTGATTTAGTGATGGAGTTCAAAACAGTTCAATCAGACATTCAAGAACCATCACCAGACATTGTGTTTCCAAACCTCTCTGATCCTCGTGTCCGCAAGTGGTCAAAGCAAGCTAACGTTATAACACTCTCGCCAGCAGCGATGGATGAAGTCGCTCAAGGCACCAATGTCGAGGCTCACGTTTCTGGCGTTCTTTTCAAAACTGTTGGAAATCTGAGTATCCCAGTCGTAGAAGGTCAAGGGTGGGTGATTTCATTGATGTATTTACCAAGAGTTTCTATAGAGTGTCCGTTCAGGTAGTTTGTCGTTACATTTTACAATAACGTTTTTGTCTTTACTAGAAATGAGACGGTCGAAAGTGGAAACTTAATGTCATTGTCAGTATTTCCAAGAATCACCGGCGATCTGGATCCTCCAATACGAATTGCTCTTGCTCATTTGAGTGTAAGATTATATATTTTCGATTAATTTCTAGTGATGGTCTAAGGATGGCGGTGAAGATTGATGTAACAACTATGTTGAAGATAATGATAGTAATCTAAAGAATCTTTGTTTCAATTTTTGTAGCCTGCGATGAGTAACTTCAAGCAGGACTGTGTATTTTTAAATGCCAGTGCGAGGTAAGTTCCATGCGCAAGATGTATTTAACTCCCAGATACATTGTGGAATGTTTGAAATGTTTGCACAACAAGTGTTTTGTAGTAGAAGGTAATCATAGTAATAATAGCCCCAGGTCTACTTCTGGTAATTATTCTTGCTTCATTTGTCTAGCGACGGTGAAATGTGGTCAAACCAAGGATGCAAAGTCGCTGGTGTGAATGAAACTCACACCATATGTGAATGCAACCACATGAGTAGCTTCAGTTTGTTGGTTGATAAAAGTCAACCTAACGTAAGTTCTAATTAACTTACAATTGTTCTAAATGACGTGTAATTGTTCTAATTAGATCGAATATACAGATATATGATACGATATTCGACCGGGGTGATAAAAAAGATGTTGAATATATAGGGTATATGGTAATGGTATACTCGACCAGGGTAGTACTAGGGAGTGTGATAGAAGATTCCTCTGATATCAGCTGAAATTATGTTTTTTTCTTCCAGGATTTCATTATGAAGGCGGCGCCCATACCTCCTAAAGGGGGTGGTGGTGGCAGTGGTGGAGGAGGAACCTCATCCAGTGGATTCATTTACATTATTTTGTTGTTTTTACTTATTGTGGCTTTAATAATCATCATCATATTTGCAGTATGGAGGTATAGTAATAATATAGCATTGACACTAATTCACTAGTTATTGTCCATTACTGAAAACCTCATTTGTTTACAGAAAACGAAAAGGAAAAAGCAGCGATGAAAAAGAATCCGACCAGGCTAAATCAGGTTACTAAGATAATGATTTATTGCTATACCATGACTGCTAAGACTAGTGATGGCTGTACAATGGTTATTATATTATTAAGTATCTGTCATTTCGGATCAGGCTGTGTAATGATTTAAATATACTCTTATCTTGAAGATAAAGGTGGTGACGAAAGCAAAGCCGGTGCTTCTGGAACTGCCACCGAGGTAAACTGTCAATGCTTTGAAGAATTCATATTATTCATATCCTTTGTTAACTTTTTTCCTTATTTTCGATCCGTAGGATGCTGCTGCTCAATCCGGTCGATCAACTTCATCTGGCGATAAGAAAAAACGGAAAAAAGGCGAGGTAATATGATATGCATCGACTTAACAACTTTTGTCCTCAATACGCACTGTACTGTTACACAATGGCCATCGGGAACACCTTTGCATCTAGGCATAGTTTAGACGGAGATTGGGTGTGTTAGGGTGAGAACGTGGGCATGCTTGACCAGGATTTTTGGCTAAAAACCTCTGCTCTTTTTGTTCTAAACAGCGACGGAAGGAAGGTCGAAAGAAAAGAAAACCGCAGACACTGGACAAAGATGCTATTGAAGAGGAAAATCAGCAAAAAGATGAACATAAAGTGAGTTCACTTTCACTGCATTTCCATGTCGTAAAATATTTTTCTCCCCTATATCATTATGTTCCCTAAACGTACAAGAAAGAACATTTTGCGATGAGGCGAAAGTTTGCCGCGTAAATATAAACATAACCAAATTTCTAAAACATAAATGATGAATCAAGTTAAATAAACCCTAAATGCATCTTAAATCTTTTAAATCTTGAAGACCGCAGACAGACGAGCTTCAAGGAGACAACAACAACAGCGAGAGCGCGAGGAATCGCTTCTAATGAAAGAAAAGGCAATGATCTTTTCAGATTATCGTCAACCTTACAACTTCCTCGCACACGAAGAGGCGGCCCCTGACCCAGTGGATACCTCTACCCCTCTCCCCGCAACATCAAAAGCTGACTCTTATCCACGCCGTCATAAGAGACCCACCTCATTTCACGATCGTGAAATGGGTCAACCTGGGTTTAATTTAAGGAAACACAACTCTGAGAACGCTTTCCCACTGCAAGCCTTACAAAGAAAGTGGGGGGTGGATTCCCCGAGGGATAGGAGAGGTAACCCCCAAAGAACGGGGAGTGTACTTCAAGGGCCTATACAAGAGGAGCCCCTGGAGGAACAAAGACTCGCGGAAGATACTGGTAGTGGCCCCGGAATTCCGGGAGGTACAGAATCTCCGAGGGGAGCAAGTACTCCTAGAACCTCGGAGATTGCTAGTGTTACTGCAGCCAAATCTAAGTCTAAAAAGAAATTTTGGAAACGAAAAAGCAAAGAGAAACTTGATTCAAAAAGTGTTCAAGAGGGAGAGGCGGTGACTCCTGAATCGCCTGAGAAAAAGAAAAGGTTATTTGGAAGAAAAGATCGGAGTGGCAGTAGAACTTCATTGAACGCCTCACAGGAGGATATTGCCTCAGGTAGCGGACAGCAGGGCGAATCAGAAATAGTCAAATCAAAACCTCCGATAAGTCCTTCAAAAAAAAAGATTTGGCAACGTAAGACATCGAACAGTCAGGCATCTTTGGGTGCTACTAGTCCAAGGCCTGACGAATCAGGTGGAACATCCGATGAAGGCCTGGGCGCTGATGATACAGGCTCACCCGGCAAGAGTAAGCGAGGTTCAATATTAAGACGATTGAGTAAAAGCGGTAGTAGGACTTCTTTAAGTAAAAGTGGAAGCAAATCTTCCTTAAGTCGATCTGAAGAAAGCATTGACCAGGAACATGAAGGTTCTCCAAAGAAAAGAAGATCTTCTTTGTTAGGTAAATTAAGTCGCAGTGGCAGTAGGAGTTCTTTAAGTAAATCGCAGAGCAGTGTTGAAGACTTGACTAACGAGGAACCTGGAAGATCTCCCAAACGTAAATCATCGTTGTTGAGAAGACTCAGTAAAAGTAGAAGTTCAATAAGTAAGTCTGAAGATAGTCTCGAAGGTGAGCCGAGTTTACACGAGGATGGCTCGAAGGCAACTCGAAGTGTCGACGAAGGCGGGCCGTCGCAAGCATCGCGGAAACCGTCTTCTGTTGTGGGTAAAAGCAGTAAAACTGGTAGCCGTAGGTCGTCCAAAACTCAAGAGGCTGAACTCCAGCAGGGGGGGATAATCGATAAAGACAATACTCAGGGTGAGGAGACAACCCCCCGTAAGAAGAAAGGGTTGTTTGGAAAGAAATAGTGAAAAACGTCTTATAAATAAATAGATAAATGAACACGTCAGTTAGATGTTTAAAAGTATTTAGGTAATACTAAAATAGATTTTCTATAACAACCATTTGTAATGGCTCGTTTGCTTACTTTTCAGTTCTAGCAAACAATTAAATTGTGCAATTTTGCAACGTCGACACGTCAGTGCTATAGCAACTGGATTTTTATCAAAGGCATCCAGTCTACGACGTGTCTCCCTTCATTCACCTGTTGCGAGATACATATTCACATAAAATTTGGCTACTCGAAGTCTGTGAAGTCGCTGTGTAAATATATTGCGCTTTTGCAACACAAAATGTTTCAAATGTTAACTATAAAGGTGACAATGTATAAAATTTTGGGTGATGATTGGAAGATGGTATCTTTAACTACATATATCAACATCATTCTTCTGTTTGTGGCCTACTGTGATCGTGACGCGCTTTTTTCAAGAAACAAAATTGTTCTATTTTTGTCTCTCGTTGATTTCATGGGCGCGCTGGTGTCACAAATCACTCCAGATTGTCTTCTCAACAAGAATTTCGACGGATGCTCCGTGATGTTACCGTACGAGCTGTTCTTTCTAGTATTCGAACGTTTTTCGTATAACGTTAACACGCATTTGCTGAAGAACGCACGCGATAACGAGCTCACGCGGAAAGATAACGTGTTCTACCATGGGTTGACGTTACTATTCAGCTCAGTATTAGTGGTAGTACTTTTCCCAAGCTACTGGCCAATGAGGATCGTGTTTCATTCTGTTATCAGGAACACTTTGCTTCGTGCGGTATTCTACTTATTGGATGGAATCGTTTTCTATTGCATGAGTGTTTTTGCACCGAATGATCACAAGAAAAAGGAAATTATTTTGCAAATATAACTCGAAAACAGAGAAAGTGCGGTGTATTTTACGCATGTATAGAGAAATCATAACTAAATATTTAACATTTTTATGTAACTCGAGCATTTTTAAACGTGGACGTAAATTAATCGAAAAGCTTCAAATGTTTACCTTTAAAGGACCTCTGCTATAAACAATAATCTGGATGTTTTGTGTAATTATTCTGCCTCCATGACCACGAGCATAAATAATTAGTAATTAAACTTTGATTCTAACTCGTTAAAATCATATATTGTATATATATAAATATTTAAAATAAGAAGAAATTTCCCGCTAAAACTGGTTTCTATGCGTTTATTATAAAATCCGTTCTACAAAAAAAGGTTCGTATAAAAAGTGTTTTTTTGTTTATTTTCTGCAAGAGAGGTCTTCTCTACCGCAGCATCGTCGGATATTTGTTGAGAAAACTCTACAAAAAAGCAAACGTTGCCATTATTTGACACTCGTTCTTGTGAATTCCATACCATTCAACGTACAAGAATATATAACTGCTTTTTAAATGGTTTAACTTCAAAAAAACCCCGTCCATTTACTACCTACACTCTTGCATTTCAAATTTTGTACCGAAATACTGAGTATACTATAGAAAGACACGCATGTAGCAATCCTCGCCAGTTCGAGCTTTCCCGAGCTTGCGAGACCTAAGATTTTATCATGAGATGATTCAAACTATTTTATTATATTTACCTTCGTTCCACTTCAAGATGAATATTTCGATATTCATCCCTGGAACTCGATACCAAAGTCTGTCCAGTGTTACTGTATTCAAAGGTGTCTCTTTGAGTGTCCTCAATATTCTGTAAGACAGTAAATACATCTTGCTGGGTGAAAAATTATCGTTTACCTGATTTCTCTATTAAACATTTACCTCTGAATCATCTTGAATTTGCTGTTCAATTCTTAAATTATCCTGTGAAAGGGTACACAAGATTAAGAACTTTCATTTACAGGAGTATAGGTTTTGCAGTTGAATGAAAACCTTTCGTGAACGATGGTAATTTTTTCTAAAGCTCACCTGGCTCAAAGACAGGTCACAATGTGAATCATCATGATCATTGCTTTCTATCCCAGAGTCAGTATCGTGTCCACCTTCCATCTTTTCTTTACTAAACTCATGTTGCCATTCCAACTCCTTCTGTTGCGCCGGAGTTCCGCCTTTCAGGTTGTGAGAGGGTGTCGAGGAATAATCGTA